CACAGTACATTTACTTCCTGTAGCTACAAAGAAAAGTTAATGAATAACCATTCCTGCACTTCAATTTTGCAGGGCTGTGGGCAGGATCAGTGCATGGGAAAAGAGTTAATGTTCAGCCTCTCTCTGGCACTTGAAAATGTGTGACTGAAGACTAATCCCTTACATAGAAAAGAAAACATGGGAAACAAACTGGTGTTGGCTGGTTCTCCCATGCTTTGTTGTAGTAAAACTGTGAGATGCATATACATGGGAGTGCAACAGAAGAAGTATTCAGTGAAGAATGCCAGAAGCCATGGACGCCCCGTGATAGGCAACACATTTGTTGCAGTTGTGTACACTCCCTTAGCTTCTTGCCTCCAGAATAAACACATGAGGTCTCATCATGCCAACTGTTACTACCAGGCATAGTCATCCTGCCCACACTTACTAGCAGGTATAGTTCCATTGATTGAAGTCATGGAGATGGGGGAGCTTTTCAGTAGCCTTCAGGCCTGGCAGATTGGAGGTATTTTCATTCTAATCCAGCTGTGTTTGGAAGCCTATATGCCAAAACTAATTCTATTTGATAACTGAACTTCTTCATTTACCCTTGGGGTTTCAAAAAGAGATGTCCCATCTCGCTGTGGTGCCCCTCCCAAGCATGGTGGAGCTTTGTTTAGAGTGGAAAAACTCATTTTAAATGGAAGAATTTGATGTTTTGTATGTAACTGTAAAAGCATTGCATAGCAACAAACATGCTAAGTAAACCACTCTTAGTTATGATGTTCTATTTGCTTGAGTTATCTAAAATACGTCTTTCTAAAGCTCTGAGAGAGTGAATTATGTAAACTTGAAAAGGCAGCACACATGGGAACCAGTCCGCTCTAAAGGAAATCTAAATAGAAGGAGGCAGATGCTCAACTAGTGTAAATTGTAATTGCTCCATTGCAGCCAATGGGAGCTATGACATCTTACCCCAACCAAGGATCTGTGCCAGCATCTGTTCTATGGTTTATAAAAAATGGGCAAATACCATATACAAAATAGGTGCACTAAATCAAGTTAAGACAAGAATATTTCCTGGTAGGGAGAGGAGGTCCCAATACTTCTGAAAAGGGGTTGTATCACAGACAAATTGCTTTGTGCAGCTGCAATCTATGCTACCTACTTTTTAACTGCAACCTCGGTGCTACCCCAGTCATGGGCTTCAAAGGCCACCCAATGAACACTTCTTAACAGGGTGGCATATAGGATAGCACATTTCAGTTCTTACTAACAGGTTGAAAAATCATTACTCATAGCAACAAAGTTGCGATGCAAGAACACAATTTTCATACCAGACAGATTCTTTGGTGATTAAAAAAAAATTAGCATTTTCTTAAACACAGATTTATTTAGCTTTTCAGAATAAAGGATTAGTTTTGCTCCTGATATAATTCTGACTAATGAAGAATAAACTGGAGTCCTTTCTTTTTGCAATGTCACCAACGTACCGTGCAGTTTTTGATCATACCCCAAATTAGCTTGAACTACAAAGCTAATAATTGAGCTAATAGCGCCTACTCTTGGAAATGTATTTGCTTTTCTCTGAAGATCTTAACTTTTGGCAAATTTCATAAACCCTGAATGTGTGGTTGTGAGCCTGATGCAACTATCAAATTACTAAAACACTGTGATGCACCTTTTTAGACAAGTCTTAAGGGCTATTTAGAAATGTTTTGAAGCAAAGAAAAACAAAATTTAAGCACAAGTGATGATCACAACACATGACATTGCTATCTAGTGGCTATTACTGCTAATGAGGTTTAAAGATAATAGAGTTTCTTTACTACCAGTCACGGGGAGCAGCTGAGAAAGAGAGCTTGGGATGCCATATTATTTCAGTTAACAAATGCTGCCTCCAATTGTTTGCTGTAGTGAACAGCAGATTCCCTTAAAATCCAATCAGAGGATAAATATTGAAGGTAGAGCTGGTGGAATTACATGTTGCTAATAAATTACTGGAGAAATATAGCTTTGCATAACAAAATAGCAGCCCCAGTCCAAAAGGATTTACAATCTAAGTTTTTAAGCTTTGTCACTCACTTATCCTTATTCCGGGTATTCAGTCATACGCTATCGTTTCTGTCCCTCATCCCCTCTCCCAAGATTGGAGGATAACAAATGAATAACAAATAGGGAATAATGAACAGCAAGTATTGCAGGGACTGGCTTTTTGTTATATGTTTGTACAGTGCATAGCACAATGTGATCCTGATCTATGCTTGGGAACCTTTGGTGTTACTGTACTATAATATTTGCATGAGAATATATTTAACATTGATATGAACAAAGGGTATGAACACTTGACTCAAACTGAATGCTTTCTATCACTTTTTTCAGTATTTGACCCTCAAAGTGTTAAACTTCTATTCCCAGGCAAAAACTAAACAGTTTTGTGACTGGCAGCCACATTTATATTGAGACTTGTTTGGTTTTAATATGCAATATTTTATTATCTGAAACCTCCCCTACTGTGGGGGGAGAGTATCTTGCCCTATCTTGAAGGCAGTGGTCTGTGATGATCTCATAGGTTTCTCTTCCATTTTTAGGATGGGATTGTGGTGCTTTTGAAAATCCCAATCATATACCCATTTGGTAAACATTTCTGTCTTTCTTTGGTATTTGGAGTGCAAGCTCTTCAGGGCAGGGACTGTCTGTAATTCCATGTTTGTACAGTGCCTAGCACAACAGGGTCCCACTCTTGCTTGGTCCTTGAGCACTACCATAATAAACAAGATTACTAATATTTTGTATCTGGATCCTTGATGTCATGTGGAAAACATAAGGAACTCATGGCACATTGATGGCTATTCATTTTTGTCCAGTGGTACTTATTAAATAGGAGTTATGGAAAGACTGCATGAGGAATATCACTTATGTTAAGACTATGAAATTTTCTGAAAAGGTGCTTGGTAAAAAGCACTCTTCCTTAGGTCAAGCTCTGCCTCTCATATTTGTTCAATGCCAGTATGAATGTAAAGTCAAGGGAATTCCATAGCTGTAAAGACCAGGGCATTAGAACACTGGTTTACAAATAATCACTCTGATACATTTTGTGCAATCCCAGGAATATGAAAAATAACCCAACTTTGTAGCAAAATACAGAGCTGTATGAAGAGGATAGTAGATATCATGCATATCTAATTCTCCCGAATTTTCAAATGCACAACACAGCTTTTTAGTTCTGACTAAAACAAAATAAATCTTTCCACATTTAAGCTTGAGGACATATTTTGTGAGCTACTGTGTTCTGAGCAACTTTGAAAATATGGCAACTTTAGTGGTGTACAGGGAAGCTGTGCTGTTTTGAAAGTCTAGCCCCAGAAGTCATTTAGTTACAAAGTCAGACAACTGAGAGTCAGCCAAAAAAAAAAAAAATCCAGTACATTAAGATATGCATACACCTTCTGAAGGGCTTTGGGCTGCTGCTGTTTCTTCACCGTACTAAATGGTCAGAGCTGAAGTTCCTTCTGTTACCTCAAAGCCCAGCACACAAAGTCCAAAGAAGTGTGGCTAGAGGATGGGCAGCGTGGGTAGTCATGGCAAAGAGCTTGTGAGCACGTTGTTCTTCAAAGCCCAAATCGCCCAAAGGACAAGAAACTAGATTAAGTGTACTTTCAGGAAACTAGATTAAGAAAAAGAAAACACTTTCTATTTGCCCTCCCAGTTCTCATTCTAAGCCTTCTAAAATCCATGAGAAACTATGAGCCACACATGCAGCCATGAGACCCAACAGAGTAAGGAATAAGTGAATGGCTGATTCAAAACTGATTGCATTTTCCAGGGGAGGTCCAATAATGTCTGACTGGTGGAGATAGGAGCAGAGTTCCTACTAAATGCTCCAGAGGGGAGGGCTGTAGTTTGCCACATTCAGTACTGCAAAGTGGTATGCATGCATCCCAATGGCCAAAGTTCTCTCAGCCAAGATGTACAATGTGGAGGTACAACCTGTGTGCATCATTGTAGATAGTACACTAATGAAGATCTATTTGCAACGTTTTAAAGTCAGTTGACGAATTCATTTTGCTGCAGCTGTGTCTGCCTGACCATAAATGTAAACTAGAAAACCAGAGGAAATGTGCTCAGTGATCACCAAGAAGCAAGTACCAGAAGCTACTGCACATTCTTAAATGAATCTTCATTACAATGTAAAAGATTCCCCCCGTCCCGCAAATACACACAGAGTCTGAGATTTAAATCAGTTTAATACATTAATTGTGATAAACTACAGGCATGGCAGTTACACAAGTATTGTGGGGATTTGCCATGCAAGTGTTAAGAACAGCTTCCAAGTATGACTAAAATCCTTGTTATGAGAGTAATAACTACTGTTTTACATTTAAAATGAAACAAAGGGACTAAGCGTAGTGGCTTGAACCAGTGTAATAGGGAGAAGTTTCCCACTGCCTGACCACAGTGGCCAGTTAGGTCAGTGATCACAATTCTAACCTACATCATTCTCTCCAGTTCCAGACCTGTCTTTTTACACCCATGCCACTAGTTTTCATTTCCTTCTTTGGAACATTCCTAATTTCTATATCCTTTTGACTATGTGGTAATGAAAAGTGAATGTTTAAATGCAAAATTATAAATACCACCTGAGAAACATACTGCTATGGGTACTGTTGAGGAAGAGGTCTATTTGTATGTAGCAGGACTTCCAAAACTTGTGTTTCTTCCCTGGACAAACAGAATATATAAAATCACAGGAACTAAAATGATAATTGATCTACGAGTTCTCCAACTGGGATTTTCAATGAAGAATAAATAACTCCTAAAAAATGCCATTCAGATCTTTAATGGTGTTAGCCAGATGCCCTTTGATTGAATTGTGAAAGAAACATTATTCTGTGCATCCAGAAAGTAATGACACACACTAGTGATAGAGAGTTGCCAGCCAGCCAGCGAAGGAGGTCTTCATACTTCTATACAAACTATCTTATGGTTTTAGAATACAAAAGAAAAGGACATCTCTGGAGTGATCTTCAGACTAAACAAGTCAATCTTTTATTGTAATAAGCCTCTTACAGTACAAATATATAAATACTAAGAAATGGAGACCTGACCAAGAGGCATTTATCTGTTTTACATCCTTTAGGAAAGACACATAGATTAATGTTCATTGGTAGATGGCTTGTTTATTGAATTGATGCAGGCCCCTTTCTTTGGGGGGGAGGTGGAGAAGGGAGATTTATTTTCATAATTTTTGAAAAACAAAGATAAAAATGAGGTATGCAACATAAGGTCATAATATCACTTTTAGGGTCAAGATGAACATTTATGTTTTCTGATTTTCAATGTACAAAACCAAATTTGTACCCAAACTATGAATCATTAAAGATTGGCACTAGCAGATAAAGTGAAAAATTAAACTAATCAAAAATGGTACCATGACAAGTGTAAAAAATACTGTGCTCAATACTTATTGCTGAGAACACAAAAATATGTTAGTGTTTTCACATGTAAACAGTTTCAAATTCTAGACAACAAAAGTTTTTTTAAAAAAAATCACACCCCAAGGTTTGCCCATTTCTGTGCTAATACCAGCAAACAAGGATTTCAGGAAATGCTGTTAACTCAAAATGTTGCAACCTGGTTTTGTTGGTTTTTTTGTTGTTGTTGTTGGGGGATTTGTTTAAGGGCATATGAGAGATAATGGGTTGTATGTGGCTGTAGAAATGGCCAAATATTAGCTTCATCACACTGAAAGCTTTTTTTCAGTTCAACATTTTTTCCAATACATTATTTCAGTTGTTTTCCTGGTCATTTTCAGGTACACTATAAAAAAAAATCAATCTTCAAAACACATAGTACACTTAAATAATAGATACATTTCAAATCATTTTGAGACAAGAGCTCAGAGTCTCATTGTGCACTTTACAAAAATGTTCCCTTTTCAGGAAGTACAATTATCCAACTCCAAACAGCAACACTGTTGCTACGTAAATGCCACATTCTGGTTTCAAAGGCATTTTGATGAAAGCTGTACTCAAAGGAAGGAGTAGACATATTCTAGGACTTTTGGTCACATTAAGTTTTGAGGCATTAAAAAAATAATAATTTTGAGATGTAACAGAAACCAAGTGTTTTCAAGACAGCTTCACTTGTGTCGCTAGCTGCATTAATGTTAGCTTTCTCTCGCTGAAAGTCCTAATTTTTATCAAAGCTTTGTGCGTAAGCTCCATGGATTCATCCCATTTGTTTTTCTCTGGGCTCGTGTATGTCACCAAGTTCTCGGTATACTGCAAGATTGACTTTAGAAACCTACAAGAAATAAAAAAATATGAAAAAGTCATTCTCCAAAAGACTTTCTAAAAGGACGACAGGACAGACCAGACCTTGATGATGCCCAACTTGGGACTGCTACTTTTTCCTGATTTCCAAGTCTCCCAGTTCTCACATGATCATTGCTACATCACTTTTCCTTTACCTATGGCAAGGATGGGTGGAGAGAGAAAGACAGGGACAAGCAATATTTGCAGAATTGCAGTTGATATTGGTGCACAAAAAATGCAAAATTATGGGACTATAGAAATATAACCGTATATAGAGGAGTTCTCTCCTACAATTTCCCTTCTTTGGCAGCCAAACACTTTACAATGCCTGTGATCACCAATAAAGTGTAGAGTGGAAATAATGATGTTGATTACATGCTGAATCAAAAGTTTATTATTAATTTTGGGCTTGAATGTGAGACCATGCTCCTATTTGTGCCAACAGGAAATCTAAGAAAAACTGAAACTGTGAACCACGTGTTGTAAACAAACATTTCAGTTAGCAAGCCCCTCACTAGTCCCCCAAATTCTTAGTGCAATGATAGGGGAAACAGACTGACTACCTGACATACCACATGCTGTTAAACCACAGTTTCAATAAGGATACATAATGTAGACCAAAGATGTTCAAAGGAGGGTGAAAGGATTATGAATTATTCACTTATTTTAATTAAGCAAGTACTATATACTCACTTTATATATTGCTGATAATCACAAGGATTCTTCTCACAAACGGTATGGATGTTGATTAGTTCCAGAATAATCAACATTAAAATCAGACGTAACACAGGAGACAGAAATTTAATGCTAGAAATAAGCAGAAAATTGTAATAGAGTTTTTTTTAAAATACAAAACTGTTCTTCAGATTTCCTGTTCCACCCTAAAATGGGTATGGAGAATGAAAGAAAAAAAAAAGTCTGAAAGATTCATTAGTGAAAAATGGGGCAAAGATCATAGCTATGAACAATTTACAAGCAAGAAAAAAGGAAGAGCCATATATTTAAGTTTCCGGGGGGGGGGAGTGGCAGGATAGGGTTATGGTCAGTGCTGAGTTTATAATGAAAGAGGTGCCAGGGCTCAAGCAATTAGATGTTGGGGCTCAAGCAAGTTTTACACGTTCATAATGGTTGTGGCAAGCCCAGAGGTGCCAGGGCTATGAACTGCCAAGCCTAGAGGTGCTGGGGGCTCAGCCCTGGCACACATTAAGTACTGGTTATGGTTGAGAGTACATAATAATTTACATTAATACACATTTTTAGTGACACCATTAAATAAACATATATACAACTCAGGCATTTTAACATTTGTAATCCCAGATAAAATTAAAATTATTTTTAACTTATTAGAATTTTCATTTCTCTGACCCCACTCATATTTTTAAAGCTTAATCATAGACCTCAAGCAACACTGCTGGTTAGGAGTTACATTAATGGAATCCTAGCCATTACTCCTTATCTTACTCGATAAAATGATGAGAGAAGCAGTGATAAGATGGGGACAACCTCTGTAATTCAGTTTTAACAGACTGGAAGTTTCACTTTTTTCCCCTCCTTTCTTTTTTTAGTGTTTAGTTTCATCCAAGAGAACAAGCTAAAAAAAACCCAAATATTTAAATTACCTTTTTATTTAGACCCTAATAATTCCAGGCCAGACAAGAGAAAAATGTTAAAGATATCCAAATAAATTATTCTCCGATTTGAGTTTTACTTCCATTAACATACTAGTGTATAATGGAAATTACGGACAATTCTTAACTCTGAGTAGACCAATGACACACAAACCTAGTTAGCTTTAACATTTTATAAACAGAATATGGAAGAGTACACATGCAGAGTAAAAGGAAAGAAGTGTTCAGTTGCTCTGTTAAATCCACTCTTAAAATTAGCCCTTCACCTCCAAAAAAAGGGAAAAAAACAACCAACCAACCTGTTTAACATGCGTAAATAGTTATGCCTCTGTCGTGAATGCAGTATCTTGTTTATCCACTGCTTGTATCTCATTTCAGTGCTGGTAATAACTTGATCTGACACTTGATGGCACTGTGTGCATATCTTACGGAACACTACCAATATTTCCAGTACAGAACGTGGGCAGTACAGGGTACAAATGTGCGTACTACAGAGTTCAAGCAGTAGCCTGTAAACCAGGAAACATTTCTGTTTCAGTTTTTGTTCGCAGGGTTTAAAAACTGAAAGATTTCACATCCATTCCAGTGTAGCCTGAGCTAAAAAAATTCTAATCCAGATGTTTTGGAAACAGATTTACTCAGTCTCCTCATGACTCACCAAAACAAGAAGCTATTTAGCATGAGTGATTTGTAGTCTCTCTCATGTTACTGTAAGTAATATCACATCACTAGAAGTTTGAAATATTTCTCATTCCAGGTCAGAGCAGTAAAGAAATAATACCACAATACACAAAACTGGCAAAAAATATACAATATACACTAATGAAATAGGAGGTGTCTGTTTTAAACCTCTCACTAATTATAGTTCAGTTCACAATAGACCAGTGTCCAAAACAGAAAATCTACCAAAACAAAACACCACGAGCTAAATAGTAGCAGTACACCAAGAACTAGTCTTAACATTTCACAAAATACAAGTTGTAGTTTTAATCAACACCACACTAGATTAGGCTTCATTAAGATATTAAAATGCCAACTTGTGTCATCTTTATGTATGCCAGTCAGTGACTAAGTATGTCACAATTCTTGATGACCACATCACTTCAAATGGTTTGTTTTTAGGGGGAGAATTTATTTAAAAAAACAAAAACAAACAAACAAACAACAAACAGCAAGATATTTTGCCATGCCAGACAGAATGGTTGTAAGTGTAAAAAACCTTAAACAGTATTAAGAAGCCTCCTACTTTAATGCTTTAACAGGGATTTTTGTGCTTGTGAAAAGTGACATTAACAGCACTGGAAAACAAGTCTTCTAACTATAAATTATGTAAACTAAAAGCAATAGAAGAGCCATCTTCAACATGCTATCCTGCCCACATGCAATGAGCCTGATGCAAATGAGAAGGGAAAGCAGTTTTGTTTTTAAATATATTCATTCAATCAGTGGACTCTTTGAGACTTCCAGCGAGGATACATTTCACATCAGTGTTATTGTCGACTATACTGAATTAGACACTTGTCCTCTACAAACACTTAAGTGGGGCTTTTAAAAATGTGAATTGAAATAAGTTTCACAATTGAAACTGAAGTAATGTGATCTATATTTAGACCTCCAGAAATCTCAGAAACAAAAATATACAGCAAATCTTAGCTTCTACTTCAAAAGACTCAAGAAATGTAAGTTTGGCTGGTAGAGAAGTTTGTAGAGGTAGATGCACACTTTTAAGTGTCATGCACACCTGTAACACCAACCACAATGCTAAGTCTAAAATCTCTAGTGCAGAGTGAAGGAGGACTTGGGGCACCTTAGAGACTAACCAATTTATTTGAGCATAAGCTTTCTTGAGCTACAGCTCACTTCATTGGATGCATGCAGTGGAAAATACAGTGGGGAGATTTTATATACACAGAGAACATGAAACAATGGGTGTTACCATACACACTGTGATGAGAGTGATCAGGTAAGGAGAGCTATTACCAGCAGGAGAGAACTCAAAAAACAAACAAAAAAACCCCCGCCTTTTGAAGTGATAATCAAGATGGGCCATTTCCAGCAGTTGACAAGAACGTGTGAGGAATAGTAGGAGGTGGAAAATAAACATGGGGAAATAGTTTTACTTTGTGTAATGACACATCCATTCCCAGTCTTTATTCAAGCCTAATGTAATGGTGTCCAGTTTGCAAATTAATTCCAATTCAGCAGTCTCTCCTTGGAGTCTGTTTTTGAAGTTTTTTTGTTGAAGAATTGCAACTTTTAGGTCTGTAATCGAGTGACCAGAGAGACTGAAGTATTCTCCAACTGGTTTTTAAACGTTAAAATTCTTGACATCTGATTTGTGTCCATTTATTCTTTTACGTAGAGACTGCCTGGTTTGGCCAATGTACATGGCAGAGGGGCATTGCTGGCACATATCACATTGGTAGATGTGCAGGTGAACGAGCCTCTGATAGTGTGGCTGATGTGATTAGGGCCTATGATGGTGTCCCCTGAAAAGATATGTGGACACAGTTGGCAACGGGCTTTGTTGCAAGGATAGGTTCTTGGGTTAGTGTTTTTATTGTGTGGTGTGTGGTTGCTGGTGAGTATTTGCATCAGGTTGGGGGGCTGTCCGTAAGCAAGGACTGCCCTGTCTTATAACACTGCAAAGTGTTATACAGCACCATAAAGCAGATGGAAGGTAATTTAGTCAAGTTATTGTCATAAAGTTCTTGTGCATCTGTAACTATTTTGCTTCCCCACTTCTGAAATACAAGCATGGTTGTTTCTTCAAGTTGCACTGCAAAGCAAAAAGATAACAGCATTCTCTCCCCTTCATTCTGGGAACAGTTCTCTGCTGAATCCTAAAGACTTTTAGACTGAGTACAGTACCGTACAAATACATGTGATGGTTCCTTCAACGATGCTGCTATACAAGATACGGGAAGGAACAACTTGTGCAGCGAACTCTCATTACTGTCTCACATTCCTTTTATTTCCAGAAGTAAATTGTATTAAGGCGTGGATTCAAGGGTGGGAGAACATTAAACTTACTTCTCAGTTAGAAGATTATTCATTAGATCATCTAAAATGTAGCAATTCTGGGGCAAATGGTATTGCAACTGAGAGAGGATTTCTGTAGTCATAGAAATACAAGGACTAATTTCTGCACTTCTTTCCAACCTTAAAAACAAAGACAAAAATTACTTTTGGAATCTTTCACAAAAATAAAGAAAGTTTACATCAGTTTACATCTTAACACAATTAACTGAAGCAAAAACTTTTGTCACAGCAATTTATCCACATGCTCACTACTACCCTGTAATCCTTTGGCCTCCTTTTCCTTCTGTTTTACAAGCAAATTCTTGTGTTCTCCATCTCGAAAACAATGTCCTCTCAGTCTCTTCAGCCTCCCTATGCATCATCATCCCATCTCCTTACTTTCTTTTCCAGAATCCTGCAGCATACTAAATACTTCCATTATGTACAGACTTCCGATCTTTCATCTCCTCAGGTTCCCTGACTTCTGTCCCCTCCATATCTCCAAAACTGCCTCATAAAAATCAATAATGGCCACCTCCTTGTCAAGTTCAGAAGAATTTCTCATTCTTATTCTTCTTAATCTCTCTCTCTGTTTTTATAAGGTCTTCCATCACTGTGGTATCCAAGCTTCTACCACGAGAAGTTTTTTTTTTTTTTTGTCTTCACAGCTGATTGCCTCTCCTTATTCATCCCTACTCCTCTTCAGTCCTTTGGGCTCCCTCTCTACTTTGCTAGCAGCTCCATCAATATCTCTTAGGGGAGGAGGAGCCACCAATCTGTTGGCATCCTTCAGGCTTCTGTTGCCTTCTGTACTTGCACTATAGTCCTAGCAATATGATCATTTGCATCATTTCAGCTCTCACTATGCCAATGACATCAAAGTCTTGTTCTCCACTCCTACACGACCTTGCAACTGTTTGAGAGACACCTCCTCAAGCATTCCACAATCATCTCAAACTCTGTTCTTTCAAAACAGAACTGCTCTCCATTCCTCATCTTATTCCACCACCTTCCTCTCTATCATTAACAACTTTACTAACTTTATTATTTCCTTGTAAGTATGGTTTCAAAGTACATTTTTTTTTTAAACGGATCACGCATACCCTGGAATTTCTTGAATTTGCTCTTCAGGCACTATAGGAAGCTCAGGCCATGAACTAATGCTCTTCATACACTCCAGCACCTAGGAAGTCAAATACACCTTAATAAAGCCAAACTTCAATACAAGATATAGCCCATATGAGATACCTTGCAACAGCAACACATTTTACTATTTTAATTTTTTTAAATCTCTATTACTGTATCTTGTAAGTCATTCATTCAGCAGTTACAATTAAGACATGTATGTTCAAGACATAGGGGGTGGAAAGTCCTAAAATAAATGGAAAGTTCATGCCACAATATAAGCTTAAATTGCAGCCATTTTTTACTTTCTCCATCATTTAATATGAAAGAATTAATCAGTACTATCACTGTAATGTACTTCATATCCTCACTAACTTAAAAAGTTTGTACGAAGGTACTGTCGAATACAGACCCAACTCAATAAAGAGCGAGAGACTATCAAGCAATTCAGTGGTTCTCCAACTGCGATCTGCAGATTACTCTCAGGGCACTGTACTCCGGGGGGCACCACTGCATGCCTCTGGGCCTGGGGTGCCCCTCCTCCCACTGACCTGCTCCACTGCTGCTCGCGCCTCCTTCCCACCATGTAGCCGCCTCTGGCCAAGCTGCTCCAGACCAATTAAAATTTCGATTAATCACAACTTTTTTTTTAATCTTGTGATTAATTACGATTTTTTTTTAATCATTTGACACCCCTAATATATAGTGACATCTCCTACTAGTTTTAGTCTAATCCAAGACCTCTATGGTTTCCAAAAGCTTTTTTGACCAATGAAAAAAAAGTCTCTCTAGGCCTTCATACTTTTGTCAGATGCCTCTTTAATGTATATTCAATTATTAACAAATCTGCAGATAACCCTCAAATTAGTGGGGCAGCAAACACACAAGGATGGAACCAAACTGAAAAGTTACCTGAAGAGGCTGAGCAGATCCCCCAATACACCAACAAGAGAAGTGCCCTAACAAGCAATTTCAATAAATGGGGAGCTTTAGAAATCATGGAAATGTAGAACTGGAAGGGACCTCAAAAGATGACATAGTCCAGCCCCCAGCACTGAGGCAGGGCCAAGGACACCTAGACCATCCCTGACAGGTATTTGTCTAACCTGTTCTTAAAAGCTTTCAATGACAGCGATTCTACAACCTCTCTTGGGAAGCCTATTCCAGTACTTATCTATCCTTATAGTTGGAAAGCTTTTCTCTAATATCTAACTCGAGTCTCAATTAAGAAAAGAAAAACTGCATGGGTACATAAAGTTTAACTTCCCTCAAAAGCCTAACAGTTATTCAGGACTATCAAAGCAAAAAGACAACAGTTAAACAAAATTTTAAAGATGTATGGAATGTTTACCCTCCCTGTCATATCCACATACCTGTTTCTTAAGTCGGGCAACTGGATGAAACCGAGAACGGTAGCAACTCGCACAGCTGATCAGTGCTTTAATTGCTGCGTGCTCCTAGTTTACAAAAATAAATGATAAAACATGTACTAATTTTAAAAATCCAGATCCTGTAAAGACTTATGCACACACTTAACTTTAGACATGAGACAGTCTCACTGACTTCAAAAGGGACTAGTTATATATGTTCAATTAAATGTATCAAAGTGAAGGATCAAGACATTAATTAGTATATTAGGTGTTTAATTTTTTTTTGCTTGGTTTTCTTCATCAATAAAATTTTGTGTAAAAAAGCTCCCATCTCCACTGAAATAGGACATGTTGTACCTTGAAGATCTAGTAAAATGAGCTATAGCTAATAAATGGAGGTTTGGCTCAGTAGAGCTTGCATTAATATACTGCAGTTAGGGAAAGTAATTTTAACTATCAATAGGAAATGGGGAGGAACATGTTTATTGACCATTAACACTGAAATACATGTGTTTGTAGATATGCAACTGGACATGACTCAATACCGTACATGGCGAAAACCACATTTCCATTATTGTACCAAGTTCACATTCATATTCTGTCAGATTTTAATCTCCATAATTTATTCAGCCACACTTCAGTGTGGGCACTTTTAGGTACTTCAACGGAAGATACTGATAAACTGGAGGTAATTCAGAGTTGAGCTACCAGGGAGATAAACAGCAAGGTGGAGAGGACAAAATGATAATCTTAAATTAAATATATACAGTTTAGGTTAAAAATTAAGCAGTTAAAGTACAGTTGGAAGAAACAACATATTAACAAGGAGGGGTGAAAAGAACAAACCAGGTTAAATTCAGGAAGGGCAATACTGGGGACAGTTTTTCTATGCTTCATTTCAGTATTACAGAACAATGCTAGGAAAATATTTAAAGCTTAGTGTGGCACCCACAAAAAGGTGCTGAGGGTTAAAAACAATTATGAAAGTTGTAGCCCATAAATGGTTTTAAAATCATATTTGGCATCCAAATGATTATACATTGTTCTGATTGCACCATACCAGCTCTTACCTTAAGAGCTGCAAGCTCCTCCTCTTCTGAAAATCTGTATAAAAGTGTAACTGAAAATGCAAGTATCTGATTGGCTATTTCTCTTGGAAACTCATTTAAGTTGATCTCTCCATGGCTTAAATGATCTCTTACACGTGGACCCTCTTGATGGTTCAAGAAATCCCAAAGGAATTCCTGTGGAATCATGTGTGGACAAAACTAAGTAAATAGCATAATTCTACAGAAACCCTAATAAGCATACGATTCTTGGGGCACAAAAGGCACTTAGGCCCATATGAAATGGAGCACTTAGAGGGGCAAGAGGAACACCTCTTAAACCCCACTTCTTTAAAAAAAGGCAACTCCCATCTTGGGAAAGGTCTGACGAGAGGTGAAAAAACAAAACAAAAAAACCAACACAACACCAGCCCACAATCAACAAAAATAGCTGAAAATGACTAAATTTAAGCAAAGGCTCCTGAGTCTATACTTTATAGCTCTGGCAGATAGAGTGGAATTGAGGGTCAGAAACAATGAAGTAGTCTGGATGGCAATATGATAAACAATGGTTAAAAGGAATAAAGTCAAGATGTTCATAATAAATAGCCACCTTTCCATAAAAAAAAAAAAAATTAATTCCTGCTGGCAGTGAGTTTCTTGATGCCAGGTAATAAAGCCAATTCCCTACAAAAACAGATGCTCTCAAGTTAGGTTTCCTCTTCAACATTCTGTGCTGTTTTAGTTAATCTTATATTTATATGCCAAGTATTATTTTGCCTCTTTCACACTGAAGCAGGATCGGGACATTGGACTGTAAGCTCCTGGGGACGTGATCTTCTTATGTCTAAGGAATCTATTACACTTTTAGCACTATCAATTATAAATGTATTGCTAAATAAAAAGCATATAATACACTTACCATTGAAGACTCTCCAAGAATTAGAGGAAGCTGATTGATTTCTTTGTCATTCAGCTGTTTTGTTAGCATCTAGAAAAAAAATCATTTGAAATTGAAGACAACTTAATGTTTAACAAACCCAAAGTTATAAAGCTAAATGAAAAATACTGACTATAATAGTAAGCATCCATAACATTAAACTACCACCAAATCTCCATCACCTAAGTTAACTGTTTTATTTAGCAGTGATGGACAATATGGGATAACAAAATATGTTGGCTTTTGGAGAGTCAAATAGGAAAGAAATGGGTTATTATAGGCTGTTTGCTTCTGTGTACATTTGCATTTATTTTGAACAGGTGATCCTATGCAGATAAAAGAGCATATTTTGTTTTTATTAGTGACATAAAATAAAGCTGTTTACAAGAAATTAAGTTATCCCCTACTCATCAAATAAGTAACAGGGACATACAAAATACTGCACTCTCCAGCTTTGGATTCTGTATTCCATTCTGTTGCAGCTTTTGGGACTAAACTACTTTCCTGATTTTATGTATTGCAAAACCACTGTGCTTTGGAAACAGATCAATTAGTTAATAAGAGGACTGAAAGAATTCTAGTTTATTTTAGATAAAAACAATAATGGAGTCACAGTGTAGATCAATTCCAAACATTTCATGTTAGTCATGATCTCTCATTAAGGATTATAATTTATTGTTTGTATCAAGCCCCAAGGACTGGTGACATAATATCCCTTCTTTGTACATCACTGCTTCAGTCACACTTAGAATACTGGGTACATTTTGGAGCACTTTAATGGAAAATAAATATTGATAAGATGGGGAAAATTCAGAGTTGGGTTACCAAGAAGATAAAGGACCAGGAGGAAAATACATAGACGTGTAGACTGAGGAGCTGCCAGCAGTTTATAGATGTCGTAGTGAGTCTTATTTTTCTGTCTCTGCCACCTCAGGTCTGTGAAATCTTTTCTCAACTTCAAAAAGTTCATGGAATTATCTTTATTTTCAAAAGACTTCAGCATGGCCCATTTTTATGATGATAGGCATTAGTATCTTTAAATTTATTTATTTCCCTCTTTCTCTGGGCTTGAATTCTATAATGAACACTTTACTGTAAAGAAATAACATGTGTTCAAATATTCCAAAAGATTTTACAGATAACTTACCTCATCAAAGGTGGTATAAAGAGAAGACGACTACAATAGAAAAAAATACCATAGTAATAATTCCATTTTCAGAAACAAAAAGCGGTGACACTAACTGCACTTACATATTGAATTGTTATTTAATTACCATGACAAACCAGAGTTGCTATAAATTGGAATCATCCCTTTAAGGTAAGAAAAGAGGTAAAAACAGCATAAGCAGTTTTCCACTCTAAGTTATTACATTCAAGTGGCAATGCCATACTGTTGTACTTTTCAAACCTCTGTAAACAAAGGAAGAGAGCTATCATGTGACACTCTAAAAGGCGTACCAGGGGTCTGTAAAAAGATCAAACTATATTGTTCACTTAAAAGCTACTTGTTTAAGTATAATATTAAACTATTTTAGGACATGTTTGAAGCTTGTTATTAATAAAAGGTACCACGGTCATAAAAAACCCTACCTCAGCAGTTAACAGTCTATTTGGACACTTATTAACTGTGGTGAAGAGTAATCTAAGTCCAGTTTCCAGCTGAGGGAGTAACAGTATAACACAGTCAGCATACCTGCAAAATTAGAGGAATGCATGTAAGATTTTAGTTTTTTCTTTAAACACACACTGATCTTTGTGGAAGCTATGGCTGTCCATAAGCACTTATTAAAATTTGTATTACAGTGGTACACTGGGCACCCAATCAAGATCAGGGTCAATTGTGTTGGGTGCAATAAATGACAAACCCTGCCCCGAAAATAGCTTATAATCTAAATAAAGACATGATGCGACAGGTTGGTGTAGCATATAATGGGAAGGGAAGACAGAACTAACACTGCATATGATTACACAGATCCGCAAAAGTTTGCATATTTCAATTTTTTTTTCAATTAATTTATTATAATGCTCTGTTTCTTGGTCTCAATTTTTCTGTGATTGCCATGTAAACTCTTACGCTGACTTCAAAGTCTAGTTTAGAATTCTAGCTGTAACTTGTCTATTGAAGAGGTCTGCTATTCTCTCATACAAGGGTTTCACATAAAAAAGTGTAATATTTAATTTTGACTCCATGCTGCATTCTAATGAAAACAGAGTTTAATGCAAATACACCGGACCATCGCTAGAATGCGGGATTTGGGATCCATGTGTGGTACTGCATTAAAATGAATTGCAATTAAAGCAATTAAATTTGGGATCCATGGCCGCGACCGCATTATATGCGAATTCGCGCTATATAGTCGCGCGTTCCAGTGAGGGTCCGGTGTACAAGCAAACTTGAATGCCAGCTCCATGAATTGTACACTTGCATGAGGCTAGTCTAACACATTTAGATGCCATTAATGCTTCTGGTTCATAAGGCCTTGCAAGCTAACAGATTATTCCATAAATAATGGATGCCTGTGGTAAAAAAATCATTTTGAAATTAGTAAGGAAAAAAAAATGAAGGAAAATGTAATAGCGCAGTTCTGTTACCTGTGTTGCCTGAAAGCTGTTAGTGCAGCAATCCAAAATGGTAACATTGTTTTTAATACAAAACTGGATATCTTTGCTATTTCCTCAGTTAAGGAAAGTGCTTCATGATTAATGTCTACAAAGCAGCAAAAACATTTGTTTAAATTAACAATATATACTGAAATGTAGAGAGTTAGACTTATTGAAGAGGAATTATTCAAAGCACTTCATTCGAAAATACAAATTATTTCCGCTTAATCTGTAGAGAGATCTAACAGCTATTCAATTACTTGGTTAAGCCTTTTAATGTTAACTAAATAAAGCTGTACAGTTAAAAACATTTTTAAGCTCAAAAACTGAGAAGAGTGATAATAAGATGCATTACCAGTGAGCTGTTGTACATGACAGACTAGAATAATGCATGAATTTTAAAAACTGGTTGCTGCCTACTGGCAAGGCTAGCATTCCACAGCAAGATTGACCTGAGTTCTGTGGCACTATGGTGGAAGTTCTGCATCATCTTCAGATAAATTTAGAAAGTGTAGGTTTTATTATTCATTTAATTTAATTAAGAGTCAGTATAGTAACCCCTGTGATAGTTTAATATTAATTCAATTTTGTGCTGTCCCTACATTTTCATTTTTCTGTGTCCCTCAAATTGTCATTTTTAGGTTTCATAGTTGACAATTCAACACAATAAATGCCTCTCAAAACCATTGTGTCAGGCAACCTGGACTCTCAGACATTACTGCATTGCCTTGCATTAGGTTCACATTATGAAGCTTTTCTCTGTAACCATAAGGACTAGAAATAACTTCTTTTCTAAAAGAAAGCTTAGATTCTGAAGCACAATGATATGGCAAAGGACAAATTCAGAAGCAGCTGTATAATTTCGTAATACTGGAGAGCTGAATGTTGGGCTGGATTTTGCCTTCAGAGGCCTGGGTGGTTCCACCAGCAGAATGAGAGTCCACCTGGAAGTGGGTCAATGTAACACAAAAGTGTCCATAACCCCCATTAAGCTGAAGGTCTTGGAGCCTACTGGTGCCACCCACAGAGTGGGAGGCGTTGCCCAAGGAGGGACATAGCTAGGGAATCTAAGAAATTCCCCTCAGTCAGCCTCTACTAGCGGGGTTTCTAGAGAATCCTGGCCAAAAAAAAAAGATGCTACTGCTGCCATATCCTGGGGCTTCTGCCAGAGAAGAGCACTACACCTTGCCCTCCCTCAGGACTGTTGGGTGCAGAATGAAGCCCTTCACAAGCCCACGTGGCTGAATGAAACACTGACTCTGCAAAGAGTTAGAATGCTTATAAACAAGCTTAGACTTCATGGGCTTAAATGCCCAATTTAGATTGTAGACATTCTTTTTCCATTTGTTTACATTCTACCTATTTACATGTATTTATTTACACTCTATTAAGTGTATTAAAAATATTTATGCAATTTACTTTCTTCATTTAACAGCAGTACACACAGATGTCTTAATTAAGGGCTCAGTCCTAGAACTGTGGAACAGCCATTGTTTCCAATGGTAATTTTCCGTTTACAAAGAATTCAGGAGCCAATCTTAAAATGTCACAGCTTGTTAACAATTAGATACTTGCCTGGAAAAATGTCCAACTCCTTTAAGTTAGTGAAGGCTATATAAGGTCGATGTACTAAAATGGTTTCAGTTTGCAATAGGTATATCTTTAGCAACTGGCCCAATCCTGCAGTTAAAATAAGCAGCATAGAGCAATATCTAGGGGAAATACCACAACATCACAATATGTTAGAAGGGAAATTGTACATATATTCCAGAAAAACTGATGTTTGTGGCACGGGGACATTCTAAAGAAATCTCCATGCACAAAATCTTGAGATTATTGCCTTTTTAAAGCAACAAATCCAATCCTCCCTCTTTCCCTGTCACCTGAGTGCAAATACCTAACATCTGATTCGGTGAAGGAAAACATAAGGAATTATAAAAACCCACTTTCAAGCTGTGTCTGTTAGCTTTTCTATTTACCCCATTCCCGTACCTTTTGCACTTGCTTATTCCCACTGCTGCTCAAATCACCTTCTCTAACACACAAGGCATCAGGTTTCTGAAAAACAGCACTGACTCACTCACTTCCCTATCAGCACAATTAAATACATTAAACTCAAAGTTTAACACCAAAGCAAAAACAGCCCTTGAATAAATTCCCCACTCACCCAAACACAAAATGAAACTTGACTAACCAACTGAGACATATCTGGAGCAGAGCTGGGAAAATCATTGGCCATGGCAGTGCTAGTACAAAGCAGCAGTTTTAAAAAATAAAATTGTGAAGTGTTGCCATGAGTTTCCCCTGTGCTCTGCCCTGCCTCCATTCAACCACAAATACAGACTCTGTTCACTAGTTTCATTTAGGGTTGAAATAGTCAGTTGGAAGCGGATTGGTAAAAAAAAAGGAAGTGTACCAGTTTTTCATTTCAAGAGAGAGAGCTATTGGTTATGCTGAATGCTCCTCTACAGCTTGCAACCTGACAGACCAAAAAAAAAAGAGAGACATTTGGAAACACTTCACTGGTAACTTACTTTGCAGGAATTTCCTGAGGGGAAGCAAATCCATGCCACAAAATGTTACGGAGATTTAGACCATATGGAGACCCAATGAATACTCTTAGCACATTCATCTAATTGGGACAGAGGATAATTACTACATAAGGAAATCTATATTTCAACTTTTGTATGCCCTTCTCCTCCTAGAAAATGTGAAAGACTATTTTAGCTGATATTAATATCTTCAAGGAGCGTCCTTAAGCTTAGCCCCATCAAGATGATTGATCATGGTTTACAACAAAAGCCACAAAAATAATTCACTCGCGATGCATGCCACACTCTAAAAGAAGGGTTTTTTCCCTATTTTGTTTGTACTTTACTCAGTTTTTTACAGGGAAAAAAAAAAATAGGCGCAGCCCGTCTATCACTAGTTACAAACTATGCTGGATCAGGAAGAACAAACAAATGGGACCAAATTTTGCTCAATATTCTAGTGTATAAATCCCCAATAATTTAATATAAATCAATACATTTATACTAATGTAACAGAGCAGAACTTGACCCAAGAGTTGGAACTTCTTTAGTCAGGTTGGATCTTCCAGATTCAAGTCCACAAGAGAAAAAAAAAAGTCTCAAACTCTGCTGATTGTTTATTTGTGAAACTTGGATTGCATGTACTATCAAAACCCAAAGGTCATCCTTATGAAATATATGTTATATATTGGTTTAAACTACTGTATAAATACACAAACACACTAAACCTCTGAAGCAATATCAAATAACTCATGTTTGTATTCCCACTATCTCTTTTTAGAAGTGAAAATTCTTTGAGCAGAAACTGTAACTTTTCTCTTGTTCACATAAAAAGCCTAGCATGATGTAAGCACTACCAGAAAAATACCATACCCTTTTTTTGGCCAGCTGCTCTGCATCACTATGAAAATTACGACTTCTGGGAACTTTAGAAGGCATTTCACAACAACATAGTGGCAAATTCTTTTAAAAATAAGCTGTTCGGATGTGACATCTTCTGGCTTGTATTGGACTATTATAGTTTGTAACATTGCATTCTAGAAGCCATAAACCTAAAATGTTTAAATTTCTGTAATGTCTGATGTTAATTTTCACATATGTAGATTTTTGGTTGGAGACTATACAGAATATAAGAGCATTAATATATGTACATCACCATAAAAACATATTTCCACTTAAGATTAAAATTTTAGCTAACATTCTTGCACTATTCCCTCCCCCAGTCAACTACTTGTTGTAATTAAGTAACATTTGGAAAGGGATATCAACTATGTACATACTACAATATTTACAAACGCTTGTTCAACTTAAGTTGTAGTTTGCTTGGAACCTAGTCATCTTATAAAAAGGACAATGCACCTCACATGCAGTACGAACTGACTTCAAAAACCATATACTCACCACAGATTGTCCAAAGACTGTAGCAAGCTCCTGAGATGCAAGCAAATCTCTTAAAAGGAATGGACAGTCCTTACCAATTAGTAAGAAAACCTAAAAAAATCAAAGCAGGATATTGTGAAATAAAGATGGATATATCCCAATATATATTTAAATATTTCAAGTATACAACTATTTCATTTCTACATTCACACTCAGTTCAACTAATAAAACATTTAAAAAAAAACCCTCTACTTTGAAGTTTCATGAGATGATAAAAAGGACAAATTGGAATAAGAAACTCTATCATGAATCAAATCATCTAAATCATAGAATCTTACATAAGTCGTTTCTCTGATTCCAGTGCCACTTTAATTCCAGTACTAGAAAGAAGATAGACAAACACTAACTAGAAATTAATTGGTAAATTATTTCTACAAAGAGGCAAGAATTTGGTGAGGAAGAGGCATGGCAAGAAGCTTAGTGGAGAGAATGTAGAGTACAAAAGAGGGGTGGGTGCAGAGGCACCTCAACAGTGGGTTTAAGCACACAATCCAATAGCATTTACTGGAAAAGGCTAAGTAAGGCTCATGAATTAGGACATTCTTGAGGACCTGCTATGAGAGTCAAATGTAGTTACGGAGTTCCGTGAAGAGCCACCAACCATCTACAGATCAGATCATATGCCCAATTTTTCATTTCTCCAATACTGGAAGCCAAAGCTAGATTTTTGATGTAGTAAAGAAATTGAAGAATTCTTCAGAGACCATCTTTTCTCTAGACATTATTCCAGGAACACAGGCTGGGAGTTGTGAACTTTTACTACTGAGAAATTAAATTTTAGGATACAAGGGCAAAAGGCGTGCAACATAAAGGCAAACCATTCCTTGTTCTTAAAGACCACTTTGGCCAAAATATAGAACAAAATTGTTTTAAACTAGTGGGCACCATAAAGGAATTTGCATGAAAAGCAAAGCCAAAGCAGTAAAATTACTTCTATTTCATGTAGAAATTGACTCTGCAAGCAGCCCAACACTCTACAGTATGCTATAAAATAAGAAATCTGGAGACAAGCTTCCAGTTAGTGAACAGATTTTATTTCCAGGCTTCCAAGGGTCATACAGAGAAACAGGTTGGGGGTCTTTTAAGTCACAACAAAATATTTTACTGTTCTAATATCCTTAACTAATTAGTCAGTCTCCTTTAACCTTGTAATTAGGTCAAGAATGGAAATTACCAGCTGGCACCCAGATTTCAAGGCAGTATATGAGGCTTATATCTTACAGGCTGCCCTATCTATTAACAGATACAACAGAATCCTAGTTTCAACTATAGTAAGATCTGCAAGCACATTTCTTAGCTTCTTAAACCAAAACTTCAGCACAGCCTTAACTGTTTGCACTTACATCACCCAAGGCTCGCTCCAGACAGGATGTTAGTTTCATTAAGCTAAGTGCAATTGCTGTAACTTCCATGCTCTCCAGTGCAGCAAACACTTCAAGAAGTAGCTGTGAGGTCAGAAGAGAGGGGAAAAGTTATGTTTCACACTATCAGTGAACTTACATAAAAACTGAAGAAAGCTGTCAAACACATACAAACAAATAGGGTTAGCTGAAATGTAGTCTCCCAAGTTTTTCTCAAAGATTTCCCCCACCACTCATATACAAATATATAAAGACTTCTCTGTCCATGAGACCAGATTGCAGAAGAAGTTGGCAAGATCACCATTTTAACTCTGTGTTCATGCAGTACCCAGACTTTGATTTCTGACACAGAAAAACAATTCAACAAAAGAAGGACCCTTACAAAGAAGCAAACAAACATATTAGGCTTCACAGAAAAGCAAAGACAGTCCTACTCATCCGTTGGCACGGGCCAAAAATATTTAGTAGATTTTTTGATTGTGATAACATGGATAAATTGTAGCATATTTCAGCATAGTTCTTACCCTATTACTTCATAGGATGCCAATTAGTTTCAACTTCTGAAAGCTTCAGAGGGTATTTTGCTTTGCTGTTTACTTTTGTGTAATCTGGTCCCAAACTCTTCAGACAGCTGCATAATTTAAAATATTTACTGCCAATATTAGTTTTCATACCTCCGTACAGTTTGTCCACTGGAACCACAATGAGTATTGAACTTCAAACTGTTCCATGGTCAGGGATTGTAGATGCAAATGAACAGATTCACATAAAGGTCCTAACAGCTGCACACTTTTTATGTAATCCACATTTTGATCTTAAAATTAAAAATAAAAGGGTGGTCACAGCAGCGAAGTTCAAAAGGTCCACTGTCTCAAATCCTATGGAGAACTAAACTTGTTCTCGTCAGGCTATATGTTTTAAAAATCAAAAGTCCCTCTCACCCTACACAGATTAGTCTGCCAGGTCAATAGGACACTTGTAGTAGATGGAAAATGAAGGAAAGGTTACAACGGAAAACAAGACAAGAATAAGTACCTATCCTAAATAAGGAAAGGTAAAAACTTTTTTTAAATTTAAGGTATGCAAGCTAAAGGGATTTTTTTAAAGCCCTGTTCCAATGGAAAAACTCATTCATATGAGAAAAAAATACTTCCAGATTCTTGTCTTACCTAATAACTTGAAATACAGGTAGTTGCTTCTCTTTCCTACATACTCTAAAGAGATTTCCTGTTTGACAGTTATCATGAATGTCATATTCTAATATTTTGCCTCTATGTTTTACAGATAAAAACAACTTTAAACTGTGTGTTTCCAAACATGGGCTCAGACAATTTCTTAGGTATCTAAACATTGTGTGCTTACAAAATGCAGGAGTAGAAAGGGAGGCTGAGCTTGCAGAACCTAGTTTTAAGTGATTTCATAAAGGTCACAGAGATGGGAACAGAACCCAGAACTCCCAGCCCCATGCCTTAACTACAGGACCATCATTTTTGGAAGGCCAGTACATTCACCCTTAAGTATAAAGTGGCAAAGTGGCCGGGAAGAGAGAAGAGATAAGCAATATATCAAGTTGCTCAACAAAGTATTTGTTACAAAAATAAATGGTGCACAAGTTAAAGATGTATTGCAGAGGGCCGAGTAGAATAATGATTTATAATGTACTTGCCTATTATCTCTAGCAACTCCAGTACAGAGACAAGTAATAATGTCTTGCATAAATGACATGAGAAAATGAATCATAAAACCACCATATGAGTTGGTATAATTGGCAGTCTCTCAAACAAAGGTGGGAATGATAGCTGTGCTGGGATCAGGATAGAAATGACAAAGCTGTAAAGGCTGCTTGCTACAGGTCCTGCTGACATAATGGACCAGATTCCTAGCTCATGTAAGTAGGTGAAACTCCACTGACTTCAATTGAAAAGTGTCTGGGGATATGACCCAGTACATGTACTTTTTTTTTTTTAGTGTTATATCACCTCTTCTCTTTAGGATGAAGTTAGTATGCCATGGGGGAAAAAATAACATCCCCTGTAAGCTGTACTCACATATGTAACTACTACATATGACTGAGGCAGACAACGTAACTTCTCTCATTTCTACCATCCCTGGAACCAAATGACAGCATTTGTGCTACAGCAGATTTATCAAATGAAAATTCAGCAGGTTCACCTTGTTGCTCATTTTCCATTGTGGCTAAAGTATTATAAAATGCTTCAGAAAGAAATACTACCTCTATATAACTGGTGTGCTAGGAATCAGCACGGGGGGGGGGGGGGGAGCAACAATCCAAGGGCAGGTGTCAGAGTCTTTCAGATTTCTTGCAAGAGGGGTACAAAGAAAAACAACATCTGGCTGGGAGGGGAAATCCACAAGAGAGGTAATTTTAAACCTATTCTCTCTGTACCAATTAATTTTTCATCCAGCGACCAGGATTTTAAAAAAATCAGATAGTATTTAAAGTATATATTCTATGTTTTGGTTTTTATCATTTCAATGGGGTTTTTTGTTTACCCCCTCCCGCAATAAAGATTTAAAGCTCTTTTTAAAAGTGAATTCTGTAACACATCCTGTGATGCAGCTGTTGCTGTACTATAATACAATGTCCTAACCATGCTAGGTCTACCTCAAAACTGCATTTTGTTTTTGCTTTCAGACACAACACACAATAGCTCTAAAGCAAACACTGACCTGATTCAAGGTAATACACAAGCTCTGTGATTGTTCTCCAACATACTTCACCATTTTCAGACACAATACTATTAACAGAATGGCTGTCTATCTCAAATCCAAGTTTGCAAACCATATAATGCACTGCAGGGGAAAGACAGCTGGTGACTGGGTCAGCTAGTGACATCTGGAACACAAAACAAAGGGTACTTCCGATTATCAGGAAAAAGAGTATAACACAAGTCACTACTTAGTGATTGCATCCGATGAAGTGAGCTGTAGCTCACGAAAGCTTATGCTCAAATAAATTAGTTAGTCTCTAAGGTGCCACAAGTACTCCTTTTCTTTTTCCGGATACAGACTAACACGGCTGCTACTCTGATACTTAGTGATACTGTAATCTAAAGTATGTGTTTACAATTGTGTTCAACATGATGATCCAACTAAAGTCCATTCAATACTACAATCAGGGGCATCATTTCAGAAAAAAATGGGGGAGGGAGAGACAGCAAGGGTGTGTCAGCATAAGAAAGTTATATGTGATTACATTATGCCCTGGGAGGGGCCAACAAGTGGCGCATACAGATGTATGAAAAATCTGAGGGAGAGCAAACCCTAAGTTCTGGGACAACTGCCCCCCCTCCCTCAACAGCAAAGGATGCTATAATACAAGTTCCCACCACATATGTGAGAGCAACCTAAATGAGCAGAACAACACAGGATGGTGAGAGTGTAGAAGGAGAAAGAAGAAATAGTGTATTTGCATCATCTTCTCACACTTCAGAATAGAACTCCTGAATGGGATCTCTCTTCTGTAAGGTGTGAAGAAAGGAGAATAAAGAACAGAACCAGCATCCATTTCAACATCTCCTGCTTACCTCCTGGATTTCTGTGGGAATTAATACTGCTTGAAGCATTGTTTACAAAGGGTGAAACCATAGGCCCTGAAGTTCCTTTGAGAAAATAAAAGTGTCTTGCAGAATTTACATGCTCCACAGTGAGCAAAGGGAATGACAAATTCTATGCATAAACAGCTTCCAAACCACTATAAACAGAAAAGTGAAATTATTCCAAAGCAGAAGTATAAATCCAATTACCGGTAAGTTTAAAATTAACAATGAAAGTGCTGAAACTTTTTTTTGAAGAGTGCACTGAACTATGAAAAATGAGCAGTATGATGGGAAATGAAGTAGTAAATATCCAAATGTTTTTAGATGTTTCAGGTTTTACCTGAAGACAGATGGATTCACTTGTGGACATTTATTTAGATACATCTTGTGCCTATCTTAAGTTCTAAACACCACAAGCTTAAAAAAAAAATAACGGATGTTTTTAATCCAACACAACAGTTTAAATCCAAGCACACAATCTCTCTCTTAGTAGGCTCATCACAAGAAAGAAAGAAAAAAAAAAAAAAGCCCCAAGACTCCCATTACTAAATACCTTCTTACCATCCCCCACATATCAACCGACAGTTTCCCTACATGCTACACAAATAGGAGTATTTTAATTACGCTTTCAGAAGGCCTTTGACAAGGTCTCTCACAAGATGCTACTAAAGAAACGAGTCATGGACTCAGAAAAATAGTCTTGTCATGGATGAAAAATGACCAAGACAAAAAACCAAGCAGACAAATGGCCAATTTTCATCAAGCCAGTAGTTTACCAAGTTTCCATATTAGCTCTAGTATTGGTTAATATATGCATTAAATTATGTGGGAAAGGGGGAATAAGGAGTGAGAAAGCAAAGTCTGCAGATAACACAGAGTTAAAGTCCAGAGACGACTGAGGAACTTCAGAGGGACTTCACCATACTGGGTAAACGGGCAACGTGATGATAGATGAATTTCAATATACATTGGAAGGAAATATTTGAACTAACAGACCTTATAGGATTCTGTAATATGTTAGTCTAATCCTGGTTACTGGGCTCAATGCAAGGATAAGTGGATTGGGTTTAGTGCCCTGTGATGTGCAGGTCAGACTAGATTATTAATACAATCTGGTGGTCCATTCTGGCCTTAAATTCTACGACTCTATAATCAGAGGCATAGAAAAACTCTCCTATGAAGACACTGAAAAGATTAAGATCATTTCCTTTAGCAAGGAAATGAACAAAACTGGGTCTGATAAAAATATATAATTAGTAGTGGTGAGAAACTAACTAGGAGCTACCTGAGAAAGACCCCACTACCAAAAGGAAACATTCCTGAAAGCAAAAGGTGGCAAATTCAAAACTGATAATTAGATTGTGGAACTCATTGTCACGGGATATTGACTCTTACTAAATGTCTGGCCTTAAGAAAGATTGATAATAAGAATACCGAGTTACAACAATTATTGCAAACAGTTCTAGAAGGGATTAAAATCTCATAGTTCATGTTTTAAACTGCTCTCTTGCTATTAGGATGAGACTTTCCTGGGGACCGATTGTGATGGGTTGGGTCACAGAAACTCGCTTAGGAACTGCCACCTGATGTATTGAGACTACCTCTAAGCCAATATGCTGAGACTACCTCTAAACTCATTTTCCCTGCCAGCTTGGGACTTCAGTACCCTGCCTTGTTGTGCCAGACACGCTACCCTGCTACAAACACAGACCCAGGGCTGAGCCACGTCCCCCACAAGCTGCAGGCTTAACTGAAAACAGCTTAAGAAGTGTTCCTCTCTCCAGCACTCAGATACCCAAATCTCAATGGGGTCCAAACTCTAAATAAATCCATTTTACCCTGTATAAAGCTTATACAGGGTAAACTCATAAAGTGTTCACCCTCTATAACACTGATAGAGAGATATGCACAGCTGTTTGCCTCCCCAGGTATTAATACATACTCTGGGTTAATTAATAAGTAAAAAGTGATTTTATTAAATACAAAAAGTAGGCTTTAAGTGGTTTCCATGTAATAGACAGAACAAAGTGAATTACCAAGCAAAATAAAATAAAACAGGCAAGTCTAAGCCTAATACAGTAAGAAAGTGATTATAGATGAAATCTCACCCTCAGAGATGTTCTTTTACAGACTAGCCTCCTTCTAGTCTGGGTCCAGCAATCACTCACACTCCTGTAGTTACTGTCCTTTGTTCCAGTTTCTTTCAGGTATCCTTCGGGGGTGGAGAGGCTAACTCTTGAGCCAGCTGAAGACAAAATGGAGGGGTATCCAGGGGTTTATATAGTTTCTCTCTTGTGCATGAAACCCCGCCTCTCCCCCTTTGTAGAATCACAGCTCAACATGGACTTTTGGAATCACATGGGCAAGTCACATGTCCATGCATGACTTAGTCGTCTACAGGCCAAACCGAAAGCTCAGATGTGGACTGGCGTCTATCAAGGTCTATTGTTAACCAAGTACTTGCATTTACTTGAATAACCCCTTCACACTATGTTGACCAAATCTGCCTTAGGTGCTCTCTACTGCAAACACTTTAAATACAAGCACAGAGCCAAAGCTCATAACTTCAGATTTAAAAATGATACATGCATATGAATAGGATGAATACATGCAGAAGAACATAACTTTTGAAAAGATATGTTACATGACTTATCTAGCATAAAACATATTCCAGTTATGTCATATTTACACTCATAAGCATATTTCCATAAAGCATTATGGGGTGCAACATCACACCGATTATTCCACATCTGCTTATTGGGGGTACTGGCTTTTTTTTTTTCCTCTGCTGCTGGCCACTCTCAGAGGCAGGATATTGGACTAGATGGACCATTAGTCTAATCCAAGATGGCAATTCCTATAGTTCTAACTAAATCAGAGGAAAATGTGGCAAACATTTGATTTTGTTTGGGAATAGGGGTGACAGACTTCAAAATATTTATTAATTATAAAAATTAAACATACAAAAATATTACCACACGCTGTTTTACATATATTGTTTGAGAATTTAATTACAATTAGTAAATCAATAGGAAACACACACACAGGTGATAGAAGTTTCTATGCTGTATACTAACTTCATTATATTTTTCTCCTAGAGAGCCAGGCAATAAAAGTTACCAGGCTGAACCATTTTCTGCACGTATTTTCAACAGTAAAGAGTCCACTTTAGTCTTGTATAGAGGGTTCTTTCATGTCTGGAGAATAGTTTTGGATAGATGGCTCCTCAAAGTCCAGACTTTTAGTACTTGAAACTAGTATGGGAATGTCACGTATTATGGCCAGAAGGGAAGTATCCAATAAAAATTCCTACCTCATAAGCAAAGAGTAAGGAATTGACGCAAGTTTATTTGTGGCTTCAGGCTTTGCTCTAGATGTTTAGGAAGTTATTTTCTCCCCGCTCCTCTGTAGACAAAGTTTAGGGCAAAGGCAGCAAGTAGCCTGTAAACACCTCCCACCTTGTTGAAAGTACTTTTGTTCACTCATGTGTGCGCTTGCCAAGAAAAACTTCTGCTCTTTTCTTCTTTCTTCAGCCCTCTGTCCCAGCATATACCCAATATATTCATCCCAGAGTTAACCCTTGCTCTTACCCAAGTTTTAACCCAATGCTGTTATGGTTCATACACAAGAACTTTTTACCTGAGTTTGGAGGTGCTTTCTTCCCCAGCTAGCTAGCACAGCTGGGTTAGAGTTCAAGTTCTGCTTTAACTCTGTCTGAAACCCACACGCTTTTACAGTGAAGACAAGCAAAATCACACTAGTGCTGCTAATTCTCCAATGCTTTCCCAGTTCCCCCGAAGGATAGACAAGTTGTCCCACAACTGACTGGGAAAGAATTCTAGAGCACCTTGTTACAAAGAATGATAGCATATGCTGCTGACACACACACAGGCAAGTCCAGAAACAGCGAGGACACAGTAATTTGGGCATAGCTGTGCAATGGTGATGTTCACACATAGGTTAGGGTAAATTCGGGGCTTGGCTACATTTGCGAGTTACAGAGCATTAAAGGAGGCCTGGGCCCACTTGCTCACTACCCGGCCACACTGGAAAGGCACATAGAGCGCACTGACTCCACGGCTGGTCCGCTCCTGGTACTCCACCTTGGCGAGTGGAATAACGTTTTGTGCGCCCACGCTGGAGCGCCGCGGCACCAGTGTGGATGCCCTGGTCTGTTACTGTGCTCTGATCGGCCTCCAGAAGTGTCCCACAATGCCCGTTCTAGCCACTCTGGTCATCATTTTGAACTCTACTGCCCCGCCCTCAGGTGACCAACCGTCAGACCCACCCTTTCAATTCTCTAGGAATTTTGAAAATCCCCTTCCTGTTTGCTCAGCCAGGCGTGGAGTTCTCTCAGCGAATCTTTCCAGGTTACCATGCCTCCACGAGCCAGGCGATCCCCAGTATGGAGCAATGGCGAGGTACTGGACCTCATCAGTGTTTGGGGGGAGGAAGCTGTCCAGTCCCAGCTGCGCTCCAGCCATAGGAATTATGATACCTTCGGGCAGATATCAAGGGACATGATGGAAAGGGGCCATGACCGGACACACTGCAGTGCAGGATTAAAGTGAAGAAGCTGCAGAATGCCTACTGCAAAGCCTGCGAGGCAAACAGCCGCTCCAGTGCTGCCCCCACGACCTGCCGTTTCTAGAAAGAGCTGGACGTGATACTTGGGGCCGACCCCACCTCCACTCTGAGTATCACAATGGCCACTTCAGAGCTCAGCTCAACAAGGTGGGAGGAGGAGGAGCAACAGCAGCAGCAAAGCGGGAGTGAGGGTGCTGAGGCGGAGGAAGACACCCCGGAATCCCTCGATGCATGCAGCCAGGAGCTGTTCTCAGGCCAGGAGGAGGTAGCTAGTTGTGGCAGCTGGTGCTTGGGGAAGGACAAACACGAGAGGAGGTTCCCAGGAAATGGTTTTTATTTTGGGAAGAAAGTTATTTGGTGTGGGCTCTTGGGGTGAGGAGGGTTAGGGCGGCATACATGCCTAGATGCAGAATAGGGCATTGATGTGCTCTCTCAGATCGTGGTAATCGACCTCAGTGATCTCTTCAAAAGGTCTCATCCAGAACTTGGGCAATTTATTTGCACAGGTTTCTCGGGAGAGCCACTGTGGTCCGTGTCCCAGTAAGGCTAACTTGCCCCTCACGGCACAGTGCCGCGGACAGGGGGACCATTGCTGCACACAGGCAAGCTGCATATGGGCCAGGGCGGAATCCTCATTGCAGTAGAAGACCCTCCCTTGCTTCCCAGGTCACCTTCAGCAGCGAGTTATCTTCCAGGACGAACTCCTGTGGAAAATGTGGGGACAGTGTTCAGTATAGGGGCCCCCTGCCGCTGTTGGCTCTCCCCAAGGCACAGAAACCCAGAGGACAGTACAGCCGTGAAACGATCAGTCATGCCTGACCCTATGCTTACTCACCATTTTGGGGCTCCTGTGGGTGATGTGCGCTCGCTTTGGGATGGGCTATTGTGTATACTGTGCTTGCCCTTAAGTACGGGGGAATCATTGCTCTGTCTGGTGTGAACCATGCTGCCTCTGTTAAGTGTTGCATTTTGCCTTTACAGATGCAACCTTGAGATCTCAGCTGTCCATGTTATCACCGGCCGAAAGACTCCAAAGAATCAGAAAAAGGCCACGTAGAAGCGAGGAAGACATGTTGCATGAAGTAATGCAGCATCCAAGTAATGAAAATAGAAAAGTGCAGGAGTGGTGGGACAGTGAAAGGAGGATCCGCCAGCAGAATGAGGAGTGCTGGCACAAAAGCGTGGTGCTCCAGCAACAAAGCACGGATCGGCTGATAAGCATAATGGAGCACCAAGCGGACTTGATCCAGGCGCTCATAGCCATGCAGGTGGAACACTACCGTGCCCGACCCCCCCTGCAGCCCTTGTCCCAAAACTCTTTCCCTGGTGCCCCCATGTCACCTCCAACCCACTTTCCCCAACAACCGGGTTCTTACCACCACTGGCTGCCTCCAACACCTGTAGCTTCATCTACCAACCCGGAAAACTGCGGGCTTGGCTACACTTACATTTTATAGTGCTCTAACTTGCTGGTTCAGGGGTGTGAAAAATCACCCCCCTGAGCGCAGCAAATCCGAGCACTTTAAAGCGCTAGTGTAAACAGGCTCCGAGCACCACAGCTCCCAGTGCTCGGAGCTAATCCCCTCTTGGAGATGGATTACCAGGAGCGCTGGGAGAGCTCTCTCCCAGTGCTCACGCGCGACCACATGCACCTCAAAGTGCTGCCGCAGGATCGCTCCCGCAACAGCACTTTGAAGTTTCCAGTGTAGCCATACCCAAAGACCCTTACCCTCTGCACTCAACCACCATGCAGTATAGCCATCCTGAAGTGCAGCACTCATTGCACAGCACTCCAGACAGGAAGGCTGGAGTATGATAACAGGACACACGCAAATCTGTGATTGTACCGTTCCCCACCCTCTTGCCCTTTCTGTTTCCCAAGCAGTTGTGTTTCTTTTCAATAAATGAATTCTCTTTTCAACAAATGGATTTTTTGGCTTTGAAAACATTCTTTATTATTGCATAAAGTAAAAGATACCTTAGCCCAGGAAAGAAACAGGCACTGCAAGTCAGTGTAGCAAACACAGATTCCTACTAACATTGGAACCACTGCACTTCACTCGCGTGCAGGGCACCACACATTACTGGTGGTTTTCAGCCTCAAACTGCTCCCTCAAGACATCCCTAATCCTTGCAGCCCCGCACTGGGCCCCTCTACTAGCCCTGCTCTCTCTGGCTGTTCAAATTCAGCCTCGAGGTGTTGAACCTCCGAGTTCCATGCCTGAGTGAATCGTTCACCCTTCCCTTCACAAATGTTATGGAGGGTACAGCATGCATAACTGCAAGGATGCGGTCATTGACCAGGACCATATAGAGAGCGCCAGCGATCCTTTAAATGGCCCGAAGCACACTCCACAGTCATTCTTCACCGGCTCAGCCTGTTGTTGAACCACTCCTTGCTGCTGTCAAGGCTCCCTGTGTAGGGTTTCATGAGCCACGGCATTAAAGGGTAAGCGAGGTCTCCGAGGATCACAATGGGCATTTCAACTTCCCCTACGGTGATCTTCTGGTCTGGGGAAAAAGTCCCGCCTTGCAGCTTCCTGAACAGGCTAGTGTTTCGAAAGATGCGTGCATCATGCACCTTTCCGGGCCAGCCTGCATTAATGTCAATGAAACACCCACGGTGATCCACAAGCACCTGGAGAATCATAGAGCAATACCCCTTCTGATTAATGTACTTGGAGGCTAAGTGGGCTGGTGCCAGAATTGGAACGTGTTCGCCATCTATCACCCTCCGCAGTTAGGGAAACCCATTTGTGCAAAGCCATCCACAATGTCATGCACGTTACCCGGAGTGACGGTTCTTCTGAGCAGGATGCGATTAATGGCCCTGCAAACTTGCATCAACACGATTCCAACGGTCAACTTCCCCACTCCAAAATGGTTAGCGACCAATCAGTAGCTGTCTGTAGTTGCCAGCTTCCAGATTGCAATAGCCACCCGCTTCTCCACCGTCAGGGCAGCTCTCAATCTCGTGTCCTTGCGTTGCAGGGTGGGGGTGAGCTCCTCACAAAGTCCCATGAAAGTGGCTTTTTTCATCCGAAAGCTCTGCAGCGACTGCTCGTCATCCCAGACTTGTATGACAATGTGATACCCACCACTCAGTGCTTGTTTCCCGAGCCCAAAAGCGGCATTCCATGGTGCTGAGCATGTCCGTGAATGCCACAAGCAAACTTGTGTCATATGCGTTACTCAAGTCAATATCATCGTCGGAACCCTCACTGTCACTTTGGATCATAAGGAATAACTCGACTGCCAAACGTGACGTGCTGGCGAGACTCATCAGCATACCCCTCAGCAGTTCAGGCTTCATTCCCGCAGACCAAAAGGGAAGACAGAGAGCGCAGTACAAAAAACGTTGAAAGATGGCTCCAAATGTGGACGGAAACACAGGAATTGCTAGGATGTGAACCGATGCACCATGGGGAGTTGGGACAGGACCCAGAATGCCCTGCACCTCCCACCCCCTTCCTACAAGCCACAGTGCCAGAATGGGAAGAGGTGCTCTGTGGGATAGCTGCCCATAATGCACCACTCCCAATGCTGCAGCAAGTGCCGCAAATGTGGCCATGCCAGTGTGCTTGTGCCTGTCAGTGTGGACAGACTGCAGCGCTTTCCTTACTGCACTCTCCGAAGGCAGGTTTAACTCAAAGTGCTCTACATCTGCAAGTATAGCCATGCCCTGGGCGCAAATCACTCTGCAGTGAAGATATACCCGGTAAAGTAATAGGGAGTGGTCGCTTTATCCCAGTCATGCCATCTTTACTGGGCCTTCCACCAGTGCCACTGAATGTCCAGCTGAATCTAAGGAAGGACAGCTAAACAGACAACAGACCCTCCAAAGATGTGTTGTTCTAAGAGTGGCTCATTCCTTAAAGTAAGTGAGAAAGAAATAAAAGGACCACTTCCTTGGAAAAGGACAGAATCCTTCACTATAAGGATCTAACTGATCGCACCAAAATTCCTAGAAGCACTCTGTAAACATATAGTAAATTCAGAAGCAACCTACCCAGTGGCAGTATGTTTTTTTCCTGAAACATTAACTTTCTGTACTACTAGATGACACATGGTTAAAAAGTGTATTTAACAGACAGCATTTTACATTGTGCATTTTTGCTACGCACCTTTTATTCAAGTTTTTTTAAAAATGAAAGCTGCTCCCTATGCTCACTTTAATGTAGTAATTAATAATATAAATCAAAGTCCACTTTCCTTGAAGTGACATATGCGCCTCACTCAGTCAGGTGCTGCTATGTCTCAAACTAGCCCAGTTTAAGAATCACGGAGATATCCCAGTGCGACACATCCTAGGGGTTAGACTATCAGTGTCTCAAGGAGTCTAATGTCTGTTTCACTGACACCCACAGAGCGCCGAAAAAACGCGTTAACCACCGGCTAAGAAACCCACCCCCGAGGGGATCCTCGTCCCAGGGAGCGAGGTGGCGGCGCGGCGCAGCACCCTTGTGGCCGTGTCACACAGAGCTTCCTCCCCATAGATCCAGTTAACCGGGCAGCGGAGCTGAGCGCAGCGGCGGTTTCGTGGAAGCAGGAGCCGTTCCCCCGGCCGGGGCTCCCGCCTGCATCCAATCCCAGGCAGAGCCCCAGGCCCAGCCCCCTCGGGGGGCAGCGAGGCTGACAGTGGGTGACTCCGGCCGGGGCCACCCAAGAGATCGGGGGCAGGGGCGTGAAGCACGTTACCCGCCCCCCCAGGAAAGGGCGCGTCGCTGTGTTTCAGCTTCCCTCCCCCGCTCGGGACATCCAGGGCGGAGGCATCGCCCGCCCCAGCTCGCGCGGGACCAACGCTCCAAGGAGCCACCGCGCGTAGTTACCTCACTTACTTCCGCCTTCCTCCCCTGCCGTCGCACGCAACCGGTGACGCTTTGCCGTCCGCAGCCAATGACGACATCACGGCACGTGCGGGAAAGCCTCGCCCTGGCGCTGCCGAGTGAGGGAGGGCTGCGCAGCGCGAAGCTGGAACGCCGTAGTTGTAGCTGCCGTTGGGTGGCGGTTGGGGGAAGGCACCGAGCCCGGTCTCCTCCTTCGCAGGGGCGGGACGCGACACGTCAGGGCAGAAGCCATGGACAAACACGCGAAGGCGTCGAGACTTCTCTCGGGTGGGAAGGGGGAGCGGCGTTTAAGCATGTTCGAGAAAGACAGCGTGAGCAGTGCGCAGGCGCGGAGTGGGGAGGGGAGCTGGGCCATGTTGGGCCGGGAGGGGACTCGTGCACGCGCTTGGACCGGAGCGGCGGGTCGGGCACCTGTGGCGCAGGTCCCCGCGCTCTGAGTGAACAGAGCATAGTTGCGCATAGCCTCTTGGGGGGGGGGCGAGAGACGAGGGAGTCAGTGGGCGTTTTCTGCCTCAGTGCAGAGGGGGCGGGAGGCTGAGGTTCCAGCACGAGCCCATTGGGGTGGCTTCTCCATTTAGAGCGCACCAGCCTGTCTGCCCAGCTTGCTTCCGGCTCTGCAGAATGTCATCGGTGCCTCCATCTGGCAGGGATCAGGCCTGGCCTGGGGCAGGGGTCACTGCACCCTCACCTCCAGACTCCCTGTTTACGCTGGCTGGTGTGCAGGCTGGTCCACTGCACCTTCTGTTCTTAATTTAGATGCTCCTGCGAGACTTATTACTACTCATGGTTTGTGCTTGGCTCCTGGTCGCAATGGTTCAGCTCCATAAGCTGTCTGCTCTGCTTGATCCGTGTTCATCAAAACCTGGTCTTTTATAAGACCCTTCACACTAATCCCTCTACTGCTATATCGCCGCCATCTGGGACTTGACACATACTCTTGCATCAGGTTGTACCTCACTCAGGAGAGGCCCTAGTCATTTTCCAAACCAGGGAAGAAAACACTGCCTTCGTCCCTCCCCCCACAGCAGCAGAGCAAAAAGGGGAGGGAAGCAGCACAGCAGCTTGGTACCACTGGAAGGTGGCATAGAGGGTGGCTGCCCCCCCCCAAATCACAAGATTGGCTTTCAAAGATGATGACATAAAAATATTGTATTGTCTGGTTTTGTGGTCTGTCTTTTGATTTGTTTTAAACTCTCTTTATGCATCCCCAGAGTGTGTGCGTAACTGTTAGTGTTGCCCACTGTCCCAAATATATGGGGTGATTTTGGCCCATGCTGCAGGAACTTTCACTCCCATGTCCATCTGTCTCCTGCCCAGAAATTAATACTGTCACTCAGTCCTCCCATCAGTTCTGTACCACCCCCCGGCCTCATCTGTGCTCTTCCTAGGGTAATTCACACCCTCTCCCAGGCTTCGGGAGTGCAACAGGATTCCACTTCTCATGCTGGGATGGGGCCAGCTCCGGGATGGTCCTTACCCTCCTGCCCCTTCCTAGGCCAGGTGCTATAGTGGAGAGTGGGAAGAGGTGCAGAGGCACCATTCTGTCTATTTCTCACAGGTGAAGGGAGCAGAATTGTGATGAACTGCTGGGTTCTTTGCTCCTTCCTGTGAGAATAGCAAGCCATAGGGAAGAAACTCTGTGGGCTTCCGGCAGAACTGAACTTCATGAGGGAGCTGGATGATCTAGTATCATTACAAGACAGGCTCCAGAACCCTCTGAAATCCTGTTATTCAAGAAAAAAAAATCATAAAAGTTAACAATGCTGCAAGCTTCTCTCTTAAGCACTTCAGTACCAACTTCATTCAGTACTTACCCTTGAAGCATGACTCTTCCATAGATCTTCACGTTTACTTCACAATGGTACAGTGTCATTGGCTTGTCTTGGAACAAAAGTTCTCTGTGCTTGGGGATCTGATTCCTGAGGTGATTCTGTTTTCCCAGCCAATGAGGTCAGAATAGCTCCATACACAACATTGGACTGATTCTAAATTGGGCCATGTACTTTTGAGAGATGCTCTGAAAAGGACCACACTTAAAATATAATGCAATCAGAGAAAATGATTGCTATAACATTTACTAACATTATTTACAGTGCCAAAAGTACAACAAATATGAAGTAAAATGGTATTAGTAACTGCATTACTAAAAACTACTAGTAGACTTATTTATGACCATTGAAAGGTTTTTGGTTCAGAGAATGATAAAGATAAGACTTAGTAAAACTGGCCCATGGTCAGAGATCTTTAAAAGACCTAGGTTTGCCTCCTCATTCAATGGCCCTTTCAGCATAAGGAGAATTTATAACAATCTCAGTTCAATTGGTATTAGCATTGTTGGGAGCCTTGGTCTAGACAGGCTGCTGGCTGCCACTGATATTTTTAACATTGCCTCATGTAACCTACTCAGAGGATATCTAATTAACATGTCATTGAAGACCTCTCTGACCAATCTACACTAGGACTTTCAATATAGCTAATTTTGGAACTGAACTGGTGTGAGCAATAGTGGGAGATTTTTAGAAAACATCCTCACTGTAGACAGCACTGATTTGTGTAAGTGACTTCTCAGAGAAGAATCTGCATGGCTTTCTTTGTTTTTGAGCTTATCATCCTAGATGTCTCCTATCCTTTCCTCTCTCCAATGACTGAAATAAAAGTTTTTGTGAGCCCCTGACTGGACATCTTTATAGATCTTTTGAAAGTACTTAATGTCTTCAGCCTATCTATATGTCCTCCATATTCTTAGAAATTTTCATTCACCTTTTAGCATCACAGCCTAGCAGCTGGGACACTTTCTGCTCAGGTGCTTGTTCCATTCTGCTGCCTGATTAAGCAGCTGATGACTCTACCTGCCCTAAACTATCCCTGCAACCTGAAATTGAAGCTAGCGACTGAGGAAACCGCAAAATTGATCTCAAAATAGTCTTTTTCGAACATGTTAAAAATTGAGTTTTACTATAAAAATGTATTTTCAGAATAGCAACACCATTTGATAAAACTCTTCTTCAAAATATGTTGCACACATGTATTTCACTCAGGTGTGTGCATGCCCAGCACACCACAGCTGGAGAGTTTTCTGCAGTAGTACTGTCTGGAATGTATATGCCCCTGCACATCTTCGTGGTCCCTCCTGAGGCTATATAAGGGCAGCAGCAGCCTGCCCCCCTCAGGTTCTTCTCATCGCCTGTGGCCTGATTGGGAGCTTCCCACATGGTTTACCTTGCTGTTTTTTTCATCTGCATAGTTAGCTAGTTTAGCTTTTCCTTTATCTTTAATAGTTGGCCATTAGTACCAATTAGTTGTTGGTTTATTCTTTCAGTTTCAGTGCTAGGCACTGTTGCTACCGTTGTGCTCTCTGGGCTTTAAGCACTGCCCATCTTCTGAAGTGTTCACACAGTGCCGCGCCCCTTCCCCCCCCCCCCCACTTTATGGCATACACCAGCCTTCTTAGCCTCTATAGCTATGTGCATGGATAAATACAAAGACTTGAGTGTTTTTATTCTCATTCTGCACCTCACTCTGTAGTAATGATGGCTGCCAATGAGAAATCATGACCAGGGAGACTTAAGTCAACTCCCAAAGAGAAAGAACCCAGGAGACTTGATTTACTTTGGAGAAAAATTTAGTCCACCTCCTCCTCTCTTCAAATGTTCATAGCAAATCAGCGGGTGGTTTTAGCTAAATATGACTTTGTAAGCTGAGATGCAATGTTTAAGTTTATTGAAAAATTATCTGAAAATTTTAGGGAGGAATTTAAGGCTTTCCTGCCAGAAGGTTACATTGTGACCAGGGTGTCTCTCCAGTCTGTGCTTGGTGCAGCTTTTTCTAGAGTGATGGCCTCTGCAATAACAATGAGGAGAGCGTTCTGGGAATAGCTAGTTTGTTGAATATCCATATCGAAGACTTTCCTTTTGGTGGTTGTCCCTTTTTTTGGACAAAACAGATGAGACCTTACATTCATTTGAGGACTCACAAGCTGCCCTTAGCTCATTAGCAATATATATTCTAGCCCCTAGGAGACACCAGTACAGGGCTCAACAGCAGGAATAGAAACTATTATAAACAGCATTTTTACCATAAGACACAGACTTTTCAAAGACAAAGCACAATTCTCAACTAAGGAGATTATCTAACTCAAGCATTGCATAGACAATCATCCTCAATAAGTATGGGGAAACAGTCCATTTGACTTCCTCTTTGAGAATAGCAATGCAGTTGTTGTTGATCTCCCCCCATCCCCTTAGTCCCCTATTTGGGGACACATTATTCCATTTCCTCAGTGCTTGAGAATCCATAACTATGGACAAGTGGGTCCTAAGCATTGAGGGACCTAGGATATTCCATCCAGTTTCTTTCTTTTCCCCATCCTCACTCCTCTGCACATACCGCGTCTTTCTTCAGGGACTCTTCTCGCTAATCAGTGCTTCTTCAGAAAGTTCATACTTTGGTCTGTTTGGAAGCTATAGAGGAAGTTCCCCTTCAGTGTTGGGGATAGGATTTTTCTTCACGATTCTTGCCCATTCCCAAGTCGAAGGGCGATCTGAGACCCATTCTAGATCGGCAGAATCTCAATAAGTCCATAAAAATACATAAGATTTCACATGGTCTCTCTAGCATTGATTATTCCTTCCTTAGGTCGTAATGGCTGGTTTGCTGCCTTCGATTTATAGGACAATGTAAGAGAGTTTATTCAGTGGTAGGCACCCCGTCGTGACTAGGTGTGGAGTAGCAGCTCTTCACTAGACTAATGCCCCTATCGATGGTCTCTCTGGCACCGTGGTCGTTTTCTGCCTCGTAGCTTACCAGTGACTGAGCCCTCTGACTAGTTCACAGACTTTAGTTTGGATCACAGTTGTCCCAAACTAAAATGTCTTAACACAAAAATAGAACCTTCTTCCTTCTCTGGGGCTATTTCTCAGCCTCTGTCCTGTTTGAGCAGAGTCTCCCCCAGGCCTCCCTGCATGGAGAGCTTTTCCAGTCTCTCCCCCTCAGGTTGGCTTAGCCCCAGGCTAAGCCACCCTGTTACAAGTACCTACTTCCATGTGTCGGTTTTTCCAAGTCACAGGAAGTTTCTAAGATTCCTGATAAAAGACTTCCTTTTTGCCTGTCATCGGCCCATAAATATTCACCAAATGTGTGAGGGTAGTGCTGGAGTCTATACACCTGACCTAATATGCCAGGCGGTGCCTGCGCGGCCACCAGGGGCTGCTGAAGTCGGTCTATTGGCTGATCAGCTATCCCTTAGACATGTTTCTCTGTGTATCTGTTTTGGGCCTGGCATCTTTGGAATGATGGATGGATCAGAACAATGTGTGCAGGGGCATTCCATTCTCTTGTCCCTTTGCATCCAAAACATATATCACCAATGCATCCCTGATAGGGTGGGGTGCTCTCCTGGAGGGTTTACTAACCCAAGCTTTATGGACGGAACAAGAGGTGACCCTTCACATCAATGTGCTCGAACTTCAGGCAATTCACAAGGCCTGTCACACTTTTCTCCCTCACATTAAGGGACTGTCAGTTCAGATTCTGACTGACAGTAGAGCTACGATGTACTGCCTGAACAGACAGGCAGGAGCAAGATCCAGTCAACTTTGTCAAGAAGCTGTGAAATAATGGGACTTATGCATCAAGGATGATATTACTCTTATTGCTTCCCACTTACTAGGCTCCCAGGACCTCTTGGCTGATCATCTCAGGAGGAGATTTTCCCAAAACCATGAGTGGTCTCTGAAGAACAGTGTGCTCAGAACCATCTTTCATGCCTGGCGTATCCAATCAGTCAGACTATTTGCAACAAAAGACAAGAGGAAATGCCATGAGTTTTAGTGTCAAGTGGGTCACAGCCCAGGCTTTTTGACCCCTGCTTTTCTCCTTCAGTGGGGGAAGAAGCCTTCTGTACATATTTCTCCCCATTCCTCTCATCACACAGGTGATTTTTTCAAATTAAAACAAGACCATACCAAAATAATTCTTATAGCTCCAGCACGGTTGTGACAGTGCTGGGTTCTCAGATCTTCACGGCCTCTATTTGACCTCCATGGACCCTGCCTTCATTTCCAGATCTACTTTCCCAACAACAGTCAGTTATTATACCCAGGACTGGATAGCTTGCATCTCACAGAATGGATATTGAGGGGCTATATTAGGCAGATAAAGATTGTTCATTGGCAGTTCAGGAAGTATTGCATAACAGCAGATTGGATTCTGCTGTATCTGTTTATTTAGCCAAGTGGAAGCGGTTTTCAATCTGGTCTGTTCCCCATGCTGTACCTGCAACAGAAGCTAGGATACAGGATATTTTATAATACCTGTTACATCTGAAATCCTCAAGTCTTCTCTAGTTTCCCAGAGGGTCCATTAGGAACGATCTCAGCAATTCATCCATCAGCCCAGGACAGATCAGATTTTTCTAACCCAATAGTTTCCAGATTTTCAAAGAGGATTGTTCGGCTTTTCCCCCAGTGAAGAATATGTAGTTGCCTTGGGATCTCCACATTGTGCTACCTGTTCTAATGGATCCTTATAAGGTTCCTTGAGTCTCAGGGCCAGGGTGCCCCCCTCAGCAGCAGTGGTGAATCTGTGCTCATGCCAGGTGGGTCGATCAGGCATTCTGCTCCACAGCCGAGCAACTGGGCTTCATTTCAACAGCTATTCTCCAATCCCACACCCCTTGAATATAACTCCTTGACTTTACTATTCCAAGACCACTAGTTATAATTTAAGATATACTCCAAATAAATGCATATATCCACATTTACATTTTTGGAGATACATGTGTATTGGGTTTGGGTGGCTTAAAGTGCTGCTGGAAAAGAGTTCAGATTAGTAAATGGAAGGACATTGTTTACAGCTGAGCCCATTGAACTTTGGTTTCATGGCACCCACTGGATGAACTTAATGTCCAGTTCTCTTTTTTAGGCAACGGAATCTCCTGTCAGTTACACAGATAACTACTATAACTAATACTATTTTGGTTCATGTTTTTTTTTTTTTTTTACAAAACTAATAGAATACGACAACACAGAGATTAGGAAGTCTAAAATTATTGCCCTATAAATTGTATGCAGTGTTGTAGCCGTGTCACTCCCAGGATATTAGAGAGAGAAGGTGGGTGAGCTGTCATCTTTTATTGGGCCTTCTGTTGGTGGAAGCTCAAAAGCTTGTCTCCCTGCCCTATGAATTAATGTTTAGGGATGGATTGCTCCCTTCCACAATAAAATCCCTGAAGGGAATAAAGGGAGAAGAAAACTTGAGTTTCCCCTTGTGGAAAATTTTCCATTTTGTTTAATCAGCAAACTTCTCAGTCACTGAATAAGATGCAGGGTCTGCTACTAAACTTTTTGAGTCCTGTGGATCCACACCGATGTTGAAAAATCAGTGGGAGGTCAGGGTCATCAGCATGAAGACCTTGTGCCTCAGTGTGAACTTTGTCTCCCTGGGCACTCCACCTTCTTCTCCTTGGCTGTGGCTGCCTCATGTTCCTCTTAAAACAAGCTCCACACTTTGGATAGGGCTTTGTGGGAAAGGTAATGTAGTTCCAGGCTATACAAATTTTGGGGGGAACTCCCCTTAAACATCTGTAAAGCTACCTCATTGTCCTCCATAAAATCCCTCCTTAAAACTCTCCTTTGTCATGATGCCTACAAAAATGGTTAGCTGGGGTGTTGAGACCACTGCCCATCCTGCCCACTGTTACTGTGTTACTGATTCCTTGTACTCCCTGTTTGTGTGTATTCTCTTGTCTTTTTTTATATTTTGATTGTAAGCTCTTTAGGATGGGGACTGTCTTTTTGTTCTCTGTTTGTACAGCTCCTAGCTCAATAGGGGCCCTGGTCTGTGACAGAAGGCTCCTAGGTGCTACTGCAATACAAATACTACTCATAATTACATTTCCTAAGGAATTTACAAGGGTTTAGTCTGGGGATGATGGGTGTCCCTCTGGACCCCATCCATCATGGGGCAGCCCACTCCCTGTTCCCTACCACCTCCTCAGAACAGATCCCAAACCCATGTCTTTATGTCTGTATCTCCATAGGATTGGGGGTTGGTACCATAGTGGCAGCAGACCCACCTTCTGGGTAGGAGAGGTGAGACCTACACAAGGAGGATCCACTCTAATCATGGCTGGGGAAATGTCACTTTCCTACCCAACAAATCTGCTTTGTCACTGTGTATATATTTAGGATCATATGCATTCATCATAGTGACAAAAGTATGTTTATGCTACTTTTGACTCCTGGTAGAACTGCAAAGTCAACACACCTCTGGGAGACTGATTTTGATTCCGTTTTGTCTCTGCATCATTAGTACGATTACTTAAGTTTCAACTGCAATGCCAAATTCTGCCCTCAGTTACTATTGAAGAGAATGACATTATACTAGCATGACTGAGGGCAGAATTTGGCTGTGCAGAATCTTTATGAATCATAAAGATGAACAAACAAAAATGATCACTGCTTCACTTTCAGATCCTGTAATGGGTTCCCTGGGGTGCAATCTGGAACTTGGGTATCGCTGAGCCCTCTGGCACCAACCTGGGCTCCTTCTCACACTGTGATGCTGTGACAAGCTGCAAACCTTACTAGGTGCTGCACTTACACAGCCATCCACAGGCAGGGATGCACCCAGCTGAGTAACATGAATGCTTCTCCTAACCACTCATGAACTAACAATAGAGAGGCTCTGGCCAATTCCCCCAGCTCCCAGCCTAGGACCTCAGGGCTGTATTGTCCTGCACTGGTCAGAAGCCTGGCCAGTGTAAGTTTATTACCCGTCCGCCCCTCCCTCAATGTGGAGAGAACATGCTTTCCACATTGTACACTGTGCAGATTTTTCAAGCATTTCAACCAAAACACACTGTTTAAGGTAAAATATAAAACAAAATCTATCTTTCTGTAGTTAATAAATCTCAGTGATTATAAGTTATAAGCGTACAGATCAAAGTTGGTTACCTAAGAAATACAAGTAAAATCGCAATCTGAGTTCTATAAACTAGACAGGATTTGAATCAAGCAGTGTCTCACCCTATTGGTATAGTTCCTTAATACACAAGCTGGGATTCTCCTTTCCATTCTGGGACCACCTCTCTAGTTCAGTCTTTGTCCTCCAGATGTGTTTCCAGGTGTTGAGTTGTGGGAGGGAGTGAAGCCAAGTGATGATGTCACTTCCCCTCTTTTATAATTTCTTCCAGCTTACTGGAAAGATCCTTTGTTACGACAAGTCAAACAGTCTCCATTGCCTATGTGCTCTCTCTGAGAGGTCTCCATTGTATACAGTTCCTAGGGTAGTCCTTGTGATTGTGGATTCCCCTTAATGGGCCATCATCAGTGTCTGGCTGCTCAGTTGTACTTGAAAGGCTGGTTATGGGTGTGCCCAACCTCGTAACATATTTCAGTAACACATATAACAAAACTTCGTAACTTCCCATACAATGGTACCACTTACAATCTAACAGGATATTCATGTTCAACAGATCACTTTTACAATGATACCTCACAAGGTATACTTTGTACAAAACATAATTATATGACAGTGGTGAATATGGGGGTTCCAGGGTGCTGCTTCAGGCACTGAATGCCACAGGTCCAAAACTGACTTTTTAGTTCTTGCAAATAGAAAAGAAAACATTTCTGCTTAAAATTGAGCAAATTTTATCTGGAAGTCATTGAGACACAACAAATATGCATCTCTGCAGTGCAGTTTGTATAGTAGTTTTTCAGAATATAATCACACAAAAGATCAATCAATAAACAAATCAGTAATAACGTTTATTATACTGGTATTGTATACAACATCAGCACCAGTACTGAAAATTTTCTACTGGTAACACAGGTGTTTGGATAAATGGCTGGGATTATGCTTTCCAACACTTTTGAAAGATAGTGAAAAGGATTTATTGGCAGATTGATTGAGGGTTTCTTCTCCCCTGAGTGCTCTGAGTGCCCAATTCTGCCTGCAAAGAAGTCAACATCAAAATTTGCATAGACTTCAGGGGAAGCAGAATCAGAGCTTAGGTGAGAGGATATAAACTTTGGCCCTTTTCCCAGAAAGAACATCAGATAACTAGCACACTCCTCAATTATCCATAACAGAGGTGAACAATTCACAGTCTAGTTTTTTTTTCAGATATCTGCTAAGATGATCCCAAATAAAATTCAAGTCTTTCCCTCTAGCCATACCATTTTGAAGTGTCAGAAAACTTTCAACAATCAAATACCAAAGAGTGATACTAAGCTTTATTTTTTCTTTTGTTTTAAAAAGCATGCACAGCTCTTAAAAGACAGAATGAGAAATTCAAGCCATGAAGTTCACGGTATGGAACCAATGGATGGGGAATCGTTTGCAGAGTTTGGGAAAAGTGAAATATTTACATTGAAGACTAGCATGGCAAAAATAAAATATGCCAATACGTACAGAATGGAGCCATATAGGAAATTCCAGGCTCATTTAGTAAGAAACAAAGCTCAACTTATACTAACGGTAGAGTAATACTTTTTGTTTAAGTTGTCTGTATGTAAGATACTTAATTTTAGTGTAAATGTTAGGCCCCAGTCCCTCAAAGACAGCCATGGGGTTACTACAAAGTTACTATAAAGTTAAGCATATCCATAAGTCTGTCCACGTGCTCATCACAGGCTCTAAATTGTAAGATACTGAATGTCTTTTGCAGGGTGCTTGCTGAGCACCAGCAGTGAAGGTGGAAGTTGAGGGTTTTCAGCTCTTTATGGGATTGGATCTCTTTTCTGTTGATAGATTAAAATGGGTCAGAGAACTATCCAAAATAAAATAAATAGGAAATTGTGGATTTTTTGAATTTTATTCCCTTAATTGGTTCGGGTGACATTTCATGACATGAGAGCAAAGTATTCCTGGTGGAGTCCCTCTGGTGTTATTAACAACAGTCTGATTGCCGTATATGAAATCAAGTTAAATGGAATGAGGGACTCTGTTCTGGAGAATCTACTGATACAGTCTATAGTTGCCAAAGAGCAGGGAAATTGTACTATTTACCATGAAAACTAAGAACTAATCCCATTGGCTCTGCAGTGCAGGAGACATGTCGTGGGTATGCAGACTAGATGCTCCCTAGGCTATTTTCCATGAAACTGAGTCAAAAGGAAAAAAGTATACTTCTGTTCATTTCAAAGAAAGTTAAGATTTGTTAAAAATGTTTTAAAGTGAAATATTTCAATATTTTGACAGATAAAGTGTTTCACAGTAAAAATGATTAACTTTTTATTTGGGGACGTCATCTATTGTGTATAAACATTCCAGTAGTTTACTTCCTTTTTCTTTATAGCTAAAAGTAAGATTTATTTATACAAAAGCTTGTTAGGATGGAGATTACAATTTTTTAAAACTCTTTTGATAGCAGAGACTTCAAAAAACCAAGTATAATGGTGCGACTAGTGTCTTCTTGTGTAATTCAATCTCAGAAGAAATATTAAGAGCTGTCAAGGACATGGGCTTTGATCGCTATAAATATGTAGTAACAGTCCTAATCTTGCAAAAGACTGGTCAGGCAATAAAAGTGAGTAGACAGATTAATTTACTCATAATATTTTCACAAACTGAGTTAGATGTGTGGGGCCTTATTGTGTCTCTTGGGCATACTACCACATTCAGGGTGGTCCAGATCTGCATTGCTTTAGGGTGAGTTACCCCTTGGAGCTCTGAGGTGCAGAGGAAGCTCGGCTGCTCTGTCTTACTTAAAGGATGGCAGCATGTATACCTCACCATGGCTGACTAACACTGCTGGTCAGTGTGACGAGGACACAACAGGTTTGCCTGAGTAAGTATTACAGATTTAGCCCGAGTGTATGTTTCAGTAGATATTTTAAAAGTGATAAGGAAAATCACTGAAGAACATTTTTTGGCTACCAGATTTTCAGAGCTCTTAAAGTATATTTTCTCTAAAAGAAAATAAAATGCATTTAATAAATGATAATAAAACATTCAAACTCCCTTTAATTTGCAGTTTTATATACATTCTTATTATTTTTAATAAATTAATATAAACTAGCTGCACCTATATAATGCTACATGTTCATTGTAAAGTTCTAATCTGAAAAAATTCCTTAAAACAATTTATTAGTACTTTGTTCTTTTCTCCCCAATAGATGTCCAGCAGATGGGTCTGGGATGTTGCAAGGGACAACTGGGTTTCAGCTAAATGTGAAACAGAATCCTTTATTTCATTGGCTTTGATAATGGCTTGTTATTATGAGTAGTTCTCTAAAAGCAACCTCTGTTAACGGTCATCACAATACTCTGTATAATTGTTCAAAAATCTTCATAAAGTTACAGTTATTTTAGAACACTTCCTTTGTTAAGTTAAAAACAGTTGATACATTGAAATTCACATACATTTAAACAAATTTTACCAATTCTTTTCTATAATTTTTTTAAAAATGTATATGGGAGAGTCCATACTGTATACATCTGCTGTGTTTATGAATTTATGACAGGTACAAAGAACACATTTTGCAAGGTGCTGAATGGGGCCTCGCACATTCTAAAGAATGGGTTCCAACAAATTACATGTGACAATTCCATTCATAAAAGGGAAATATTCTGCTCTTTGAGGTGACTCTGAAACAGAAAAGTAACATTGTATTTACTCTCAGTTGTCATATTCATCAAATTCCACAGCAAGAATCTCTTCAGAGATCTAGTAGTGAGGAAAGCCACTGTAATGTGGCTTATTTTTAAAATCTTTTCTTAGATTAAATACATTTTCCCTACTGTAGCCAGCTGTTTTTTCTTATGCCTGTTAAACTCTCATTTTTGTACTTTCAAGTTTGGAACATTCCATTTAAGGTCCCAGTCCTGCTCCTGTTGAAGTCAGTAGGAGTGTTGTCATTGACTTCACTGATACCAGGATGGACCCCAAATTACAAATCATCAGCTGTTTTATAATCCTTAGTCTGGAGGCTGATATATTGTATTTAGTGGATTCAATGACTTTTTTTATTTCATCGGACTGGTTTGTAATGACAACAAAGCCAGAAGAGCTGTAAAATCCATTCAGTGACAACCTAAAATCTTTGGAGATGGATATGTAATTGACAGTTAATGACAACAATACATATATATATTGAAAAGAATGGCTAAGACAAAATTTGCAAAGTACTTATACAGAATGTTAGAACTGCTAACATTATTAACCTAACAGTGACTCAAATCTGCTATTATTTCATTGATATTGTTCAAACATAATGATTCAAAAGAAAATAAATAGTATTTGTTTTCAAAATAATATAGATCATGTTTAATTTTCTGTTACATAACCAAGCCATCAGGCATTTCAAGGTTGTAGTTAATGCCTTTGACTACAAAGCAAGGGTAGCTTTAGTATCAGGGTTCATGAGTTCAGTTGTACCCGTAGAAATCACCCTTAGTGCTGGCTCTTGTCCCATGAGGCTGTGACCATGTACCAGGTCACAATGCCCAGAGCAGGGAGCCATGCCCAGCCCTGTGGGACAGGAGCTGCTGCTACTGGACAAGTGTAGTGCTCTCTCACTCTTCAAGCCCACTGCCTCCTCGCACCCAGGACTTCCCCTCCCCATTAGCATTGTGGTGTTGGGGAGAGGGTGCTGATTTGGGTGGTCAGTATCCCCTCTTTAGTTTAGTATAGTGCATGCATTGAATCAGGAGGCTACGTCCACCCCTGCCACAAAGCAAATACTTCTTACATAGACAAGGCATCAGAATGGTAATTTCACCTGGACATGGTAACAACTGGCTTCTTCAAGCTTAATAAACTTGGGCTCCACTCCAGTAAACACTTAAGCAATGGGTCAAGTATGAGGGGGTAGCTGTGTTAGTGTAAATGTAAATATATATATAAGCTTCTTATTCTGTAAATGCTAACACACACAATAATTTTGCACATGTGAGTGGTCCTAGAGAACTCAATGGGACTAAAAGAAAAGGAGTACTTGTCGCACCTTAGAGACTAATCAATTTATTTGAGCATACGCTTTTGTGAGCTACAGCTCACTTCATTGGATCCGATGAAGTGAGCTGTAGCTCACGAAAGCTTGTGCTCAAATAAATTGGTTAGTCTCTAAGGTGCCACAAGTACTCCTTTTCTTTTTGCGAATACAGACTAACACGGCTGCTACTCTGAAACCTGTCAATGGGACTACTTCCAGGAGTAAAGAAATATGCACACATGCTTAAGACCTTGCAGAATCAGGGCCTTTTCTATAAGTAGGCTTTGCATAATTCAATTTTTAGTTTTGTATAATTTTGATGAATAATACTGGTTTATTTTTAAGCTTTTTTTCTGTTTGCATTTTCACAGTTGCACCAAATTATGGATATTAAACATTTTTTATTTTTATTGATTGAAATTTTCACAGTTGCAGGAAATTATGAGGTGTCAGAAAATAATTAATGACAAATGTTAAGATTCAAAAAGTTCAAACTTTATAACTGTGAAAACACGAATTGTCAACATAACGTCAAAATATATAAAGTAAATATCCTTAAATCAAACGTAAGTTCTTAAGCACCATTTTTATTACTTTGCCTGTGTAAATTTTCCATTATTGATGGAATTATTTTTTATCAGTTTGTGTGTGTATAGTGAAATCAACATTTACCGATAAAAATCTTTCAACACTCTGTAAGAGTTTATCCATATTTTATTCTGCATTTGAACAACTTGAATGGTAATGTAAGTCAGAGGTCAACACGGAGGAGGTAATCCACCCTTTAATGACTGGACTGACGTGAAGCTAGAAGCCAAACTTTGTACAGTGTATGGTGGGGTAATATGTTCAATATTTTCTCTATAGTAAACGCTGTAGAACAAAATAACTTCAAAGATTTCTTTTTTCATAGAAATGTTTTTTATGGAGAAGAAATTGTGCAGTATGTAAATATATAAAATGTCACTGGCTGACACTTTAATATTCTAAGGCTGTCACCGACTGTAACACTATGTAATACTGGTCCACCCAGTGTTGGTGCACAATTCAATTTCTTGATAGTACATTTCAGTTATTCTTAAAATTAAAAAGTTTCTATAAGCTTTGAGGACATGATTTATTTCTATATGGCATGAATAAATATAGATTTACAGATCCTAGCATGCAAATTTATCGTCTTATAGGACAGGGCTAAATCATGCGTGCAAATTGTGCGTCAAAGTTGTGAAATGGGCTACAAATGCAATAAAAATACGGTATTCAAATGTTTAACAAATTTGGGGGGGCGGGGGAGCATCATTTGGGTTAGGGCCAGCCCTAGGTGGAGTCCCTGCTGCTACTTCTTGGGCTGACAGCAGGAGCCCCTCCTAGTGGGGCTGACAGTGGGAGTCCCAAGCCCTTGGGGCTGAAAGCAGGAGCTCTGCCTTGGTCGGAGCTGATAGCGGGAGCCCCCTTGCCTGGGGCTGACGGCAATTTCTAAGTACAATTAGGCTTCACTGGTGACCTTGTAATAGAACTCTCACATATCAGAAGAGGGAAAACACGGGCCTGAAAAAAAAATCCGGACATTTGCGAGTTCTATGAGGAGAGCCCGAGTGAGGCTTAATTTTACTTGGAAATCGTGTCTCTGGCAGTACATTTACGAGAGTAGACTTGTCTCATGGCTGACACTGGAAAAACCAGCAGGGCTCTGCCTAGGCCAGGGCGCTCCCCAGGGGAGCTGAATCTGTGGTGGGATAACTAGAAAAGTGAGGAGAGGGGAAGGCAGGTGGTGGTGGGAAACCCCGGGGGCGCGGGGCAGAGGCGAAGCAGGCTGGAGAACAGTGGGGGCGGCGACGCGGTGAGAAGGAGGCTCAGAAACAGGCCCACGGGCGCCCCGGGAGGCCCTGGCTGCGGGCGAGGGGCGCGTGCCCCGGGTCTGGCCGGCAGGTGGCGCTATGGGATTGGGCGAGACGGACATGACGCCGGGGACGCTGCGACTCCTCGCCCCGCCCAGCGGAGGGAGCGGGCGGCGGAGGCGGCCATGGCGGCGGTTCTCTCCCCGCGGGTCTGTGACAGCGACCCGGCCACGCCCGGGACCCAGTCCCTGAAGGTGAGAGAGGCCGGGCCGGGCTGGGAACCCCCCCAGCCGCGGCTCGGCGGGACTTTCGCAGGGAGCCCCAGGGGGAGCGGCGGCCGCGGGGAAGCGGGGGCAGAGGGGGCCGACCCAGGGGAGAGGGAGACCCGCAGCGTGTGTGGGCTGTGTTGGGGGGAGTCAGCCCTGCCCACCGCCACCCTCTCCCCCGGGGTTACGGGGGGAGGTGACCCGGCGGGGGGGGGGGGCAGCCAGCCCCTGAGGGAGAAGAGGCTGCAGCTTTGCCACCTCCGCGCCCAACCTGTGCCCTTGGTCCCTCTCCACGCCCCCAGACCCGGCCCGTCCCACAGGCCGGGCCCCAGAGTCCCCTGCACCGGAGGGAGCCCCCTGCCCCGGGCGCGGAGCTGAGCAGGTGCTGGGATACGGGGCCCTGGGCGCCTCTTCAAGTGAACGGGCGACAGACAGCTCCTCAGCCCCCTCGCCGAAGGGGCCACTCACGGGTGGAGGGCTAGAGCTTCTGGGTCTCCTGCAGGGTTGGGTTCCAGGCCCGAAAGTTGCCCAGGTCCAAGGTTTGGCACTGTCCTTGTACAGTCCTGCCGCAGGCCCAAAACGGCACCCGAGGGCCAGGGATCAGTGATGGCTAATATCTTTGCAAAGGATCTGGGCTTTCCAGTGTTTCCAACATTTGTTTCCTGCTTCTCCCCTTCCCTCAAATTCAGGGGTGACTTTAGCAAATGCTGTCTGAAAGTATCTTGGAAAACTCAAGTTTGCAGATGGTCTAAAGGATTGATAATCTTAATACATAGCACCTTTAATCAATACACAGGAGGCTAAGTACCATTATCTCATTTATATAGATGGGGAAACAAAGGTACATAGAAGATAAGTACCTTCTTATGGTCACACAGGAGGTGCATGGCAGAGCTGAGAATAGATTCATATATTTTAAGTCCAGAAAGGACCATTTTGATTATCTGGTATCATTTGATTTCCTATGTAACCTAGGTCATAGGATTTCTGTGAATGAATTCCCTTTTCAAGTTTAATAACTGTGGTTGAACTAGGCCATCTCCTTTGAAAAAAATCTTGTGTTATGAGCTGGATGAAAATTTGTTTTGGATTGAGTTAAAACCCCATTGAGATTGATAAGTGTAAATTCACCCTTCAGTTAACCTAACAGTAAGCATATACTCCCAAATAAGAGAAGGGGTGTGTGAATGCACCCTGGAGCTTTTGCTGAGTATTGCTTATGGGGAGGAGTGTGGGTGTGCGGGCAGGGAGCAGCAGAACAGATAGGAAAAAAACTGGAAAAGAAAGAGAGAGCCTGAAAGAGCAGCTGAAAGCATGGTGGCTGACCTGAAGAAACCGAAGACAGGTTTTTGGGTAGAAGTGCAGAATGAAAAGAGTACGCTTGGTGCAGTGAGCAAAAGAAGCTGTTTCCTGCTTTTTGATTTCTTCTTCATTCAGAGAGACAAGATTTTTGTACGTTCTTTATAAATAAACACCTATCACTAATTCATACTTCCATTTGGAACATCTCCAGGCCCCCAAACTTTGACTAGCTGCTTAGGTTGAAAAGGGGCAACATTTGATATACAAGTGCTGAGGCTACATGGCTGATACTCAGTGGTTCCTACTGACAGTTACAGGCTGAATAACAAAACAGGATTTCGATCAATGAATATTATTTTTTCCATAGAAATAGTTTTTGTAATAAAACCATGTGTGAGATTCTCCACCAGTTTCTTTTTCTACTTCCCTATGTTTCTTTGCATGAAAACCACCGCTTTTAAAAGGACTCCATCAGCTTGAGATGGTCAATTTAAAATAGATCTAGTAATTACTCCTGCTTCAAAGTCTTCTTACCAATTTTTTCCCCTAATTTAAAAGTTTTTTCTCTTCTTTCTTGCTATGTGAAGACCCACACAAACAGGGAAAAAGACTAGACATAAAGAGCTGTCAAATATACAAAGTAAAAGAAAAGCAGAGAGGGGGAGAGACATGTTTTTTCTAATCTTTTGATTGTATTGATCTTACAAGTGTTATGTAGCTAAAGTAGGGAAAACTAGTTTATAAATCGCTGTTGTCTCTTAAATCCATGTTTAAAGTGTTATATTTGAGATTAACATATCAATATAAGTGGAAAGACATTCACTAAACAAGCCTTATGTACTTGTCATTAATTAATAAACAAATACTAAGTGTAACTGTGTGGGCTTGACTGTTTTTGACAGGTTAGTTCTTCCATCAGCAATATTTCACAAATGTTATTAAACAAGGTAAAGCCATTGAAGGCTTTTGTTTTCTTCCAATGATTTGTAATGTGACGTAGAGTTGGAGCTACTAAGATGGCATATGGCTGATATTCAGTGGCTCCTACGTCTGTTTACAAGCTGAATAACAAACTATACAGGATTTCAATCAATTAATATAATATTCTTCATCTTTTAGATATAGTTTACTTATTCAGTGTATATCCCAACAATAAGACCAGTGGTTTCATTGGTCTCTCGCTTTGGTAACATCTTAAAATTGTATATATTTTCATTCCCTCTCCCCCCCCATTTTAGGGCATGACCCTTGAGTATGAGCAAATTTCATCACAACCACATATTCTAAATATCATCCTTTCTCTTGCCATAGGTCTTTTTAAATCTGACTGGGGAAAGGCATCATTGATAGAGTAACTTCACTTTGGTAACAGCTCATTTTGAAGATGGGACTTCTGCCCTCCATATATATTTCAACTCCACTGCATCAGTTTTTCTCTCTACAGCTTACTTATTTCTTCATGAAAAGCAGCTCTTTTGTAGTTCTATGTTCAAAGCTTTATGTAAACTAGACACAGCTCCTTTTATACTCACATCTGAGAGAATATATTTTTCTATTACTTTAAATCTGTTTATGTAAATTCTCTTTGTCATTGATGATACATTCCATGATTTGTAACTGTCAGTC